TTGAAAGGGCTTAAACTTGTGCTCGAGTTTGAACTTTGAAAGCATAATAAGGAAATAGATATTCATCCTTACCATGGAGCTAATCTGTAGACGGCATCTTCTATGTCTTGACGAATTTCGTCTGAAAGAACAACTCATATTAGTCGACATCGTAGTTGAGCGATTTTGCAATAAAAATATATGAATTAATATTATATCCAGGATTTTAGAGATCATAATAGCTTATATGCTAAACATCGCATGGCAATTATGACCATATTAAGTTCATTTCCATATTATTTTCCGTTTGTATTTTTAGGGTTCCTTTAATAATATTTTCCTTTACGGATATTTTCCGCAGTAAGACTATAATGGCCGACATAGCCCGCAGAATTGCTAAAATCAATTGGCAGTGGGCGGGGCACATAAATCGTAGAGCTGATGGCTGCTGGGGCAGAAAAGTTCTCCAATGGCAACCACGGGCCGGAAGACGTACTTAGTGTGGGCACTGGGCAGGCCCCGTACTAGGTGGACCGACGATCTGGAAAAAAAACTGACTTTACTGTACTTACATGTGCTCTCCAATCGGAACAGGTTGAAGTTCCTCAGCAGATAGTCGTGCAGCGTCAAGAACTGCAGGTTCAATTTTGGCAGCGCGAGGCAGTTCTCGCCGCTGTATATCTCTGTAGGAACCACGTTCTCGTCCCATATCACGTCCTCCGTGGGATACAAGGGCATAGAGTTCAGCTCCTCCAGTTGGGATATACGACGCTCGTGGCGCGATATCTACACAATATTTGTACAATTAGGGGTTGCACTATCTTACTTTAACTTTATGAAACGTCAAATTCTGTCAAAATCATATTAAAACACCCATTACTGTTAAAGTAAGGTGGTGCAACTCTGCCTTAGTGTGCATGGAATTACAAATAACTCGTAAGTTATGCATGTAAATCATTTGGATAAATAAATAAAGCTTGTAATAAGGTCTATGAAATTGCTAGTTTCTTTTCAATATTCATCAATTTATAATTCCAGTTATTCAATTGACTTTTCAATTATTCATTACAATAAGGATTCATGAAATTACATCTACGTAACGTAAGTACCTAGTGTATAACTTATTGTTTATTTAAAAAATCAACTAAAATTGAAGCTCTAAAAAGACTCGCCGTAATGGCGACAGATGCTGCAGTATTTCGTAATTTGTCATTCTTGAAAAACGACCTACTCATCTTTCTGAAAAATGAACTTTCCTTAACTTCTCCGTAAAAAACGGCAATTTCTAAGGCTAGATTATCAAGATGAGTCAGCGGTGAATGTGTATGTTGTGATAAACCAGAGACGCTTCATTGTCTTTATACAACAATTAGTCACTTTTTCTTAGTAAAAGTATTTTTTGTGTTACCAATAATTCCTTGAGGAAATCCTTATCCAGGCGATGCCACGCCGCCTCCGCCTCCTTGCCTTCTGCGGGTACCAGATTCAGGTATGTGGCGATGGCACGTAGTGCTTTTTCACTGCAAAATATGGTTCAATAAAATATAAGGGTTTTTAGGTTCATTTATTAGATATAAATGACGATTTCATTTGTGAATGACATACAAGCCATTAAGTTCTTCAAGTATATTAAGGAGATTATCTAAATAAGGTCATCATCGTATGTTAGAAGACCAAATGACGCGCTAAACCAGGGGTTCCCAAAGTTAGTTTTTCTACTGCCCACTTTGAGAATAAATTATTTTTTTGGGTCTTACCGCTTACCACTTTGGAAAAAGCTGCGTTAAACGATATTAGGAACTCAAGTAAACAGAATAAACTAATCTTTGGAATTCTCAACTTTTCTCAAAATTATCTACGGGATGAGCGGGAGTGGTACATCATACTATTTTTTTCTGCCGGACCCGCACGACTAATACGTGTTCAAGCCAAATAATTAAGATGAATTTAAATAATTAAACTAATCATAACAAACAGGCCTGACTTTCTCGGTGAATGAACTGGACAACATACCTGAGATTCCCAAAATGCTTTTGTAAGGACTCCCTGGTATCGACGCTAGCGACATTGGCCAGAGCAAATAGTCGCAAGTCTGGAAACTTCGCGAATGCAGCTTTCTGGGAATAAATAAAATACCAAGGTTATTATTCCGCTGGATGCAGGCCGCTGCCAACCGCGCGATGTGAAAATCATTGGGGGAGGTTTATGTTCAGCAGTGGACGTCCTGTGGCTGAAATGATGATGATGATGATAGTGCTACTGTTACTACTGTTGTTACTAAACACTACTTTAAATACTACTTTGTGTTGTTACTTATTTTATTTGTAATGCTTTAAGAGCGTTTACGCGAAGCGCGGCGTTTCAAGGGGCATCATTGGAAATGATTCGCGCGCGGCGTTTTTTAATAGTTTCCAAATGTTTATAGCAAAACAATAACAATGAATTATATATCTTTTCAAAGTAAATATTTTAAAGAAGATGTTATTTTATTATATTAAGCTATTTTTATGTTGAATTAAAGAAGAATAATGGTGTAAAAATCACTTTGATTTTTGGGTATTTCACGTTTTTTAAATTTGTGATTTCTTATTGTAAAATGCTTAAATCTAAAAATTTTCTCAGATAACTATTTGCCCAAGGATCTATGCTATAGGATATAAATGTTTGTTAAATCGTTTTCACAGTATTTTTATAAAAATTTCAGCTTGTAAACTGACGCTAAAGTGGAAATTTACAAAACCTGTGTGGACTTATCTTGATAGAATTCTTAAATACTAAACTAATCGCAATATTTTCTCAATTAACTATTTAGACGACGAAATTGCCTAACTATTTATGCCTATAACTATACCTATAAATTTGTAATATTACTGGTTAATGATTGTAACGAGTTGAAAAAGTACTGTTTTTGCGCCAATCGGCGTAAACGCTCTTAAATACTTGCATCAAATAAATACTTCTCTTTCTTTCTTTCTTTACTCACCTGAAGCGACGTGATCCGTGAGTAGTGCTGCAGCTTCATATCACGGTCAGACATGGGATCGCCCGTCTCATCCGAAATTTCAAATCGAGCGTAGAACTTCAGCATTTGAAGAAGCTGAAACAAGAAATCATTGTTAAATTTAAAAAAAACTTAAAAACAAGCTTTCAGAACAAAATAAAATGTAAATTCTATATGTATACGTAGACGTATTTTTATTTCATTTAAAAACAAGCGAACGAAGCCGCGCCGCGGCACGGGCCGCGGTTAGAAGAGCAAATAAAAAAGTCACTAAATTCAATCTATAAAAAAATATATAAAAACAATGGACTTATCAAAATGATAAGTAATATTATATTGAAAACAAAATTCAAAAAATTCTCTCCGGCGGGGAATCGAACCCCGGTCTCCCGCGTGACAGGCGGGGATACTGACCACTATACTACCGAAGACTTGCTAGCGACGGCGAAATTACGGGATTTTTGTTACTACAATGTATAAAGTTAAATCTTCAATCACGATGTAGTCTTGAAGGGTTGAAGACTTGAAGACCATTAGAAACTTTTTTTCAATGTTCTAACTATGTATAGTGTTGTTTTATTATTTTTATTTCATTGTATGTATTTTAATATATTTTTATCTAACTCTACAGTGCTGCCATCTGTGACTGGTTTGTCTGACTGAACGGCTAGTAAAGTTTGGTTTTCGCAAGAAACGAACCAAATATTTCATTGCATTAACACCATCTAGCGGTGTACGGTTACATTATAATACACTACAGTTCACAATGCAAAGCGAAAAAAGCTTGATTTAACCAATTTAACACTGGAGAAAAAAAGTAAAAAAAGCTTTTTAACACAGTTAATTACATTTTACGTTAAAATGTAGGTCAATTGTTTAACATAGATTAATTTGAATTATTTTTATTTCATAAAAAAATTAAAATGTAACTAAATTAAAGACTTGTTTTATTTTATTTTAATGTTTTATTAGGTGAAATTACTTTTTGACCAATTACAATAAACGTAAAAAAATCGGTATCTCCATACTTAGTCATGCATGAGTTTTATGTAAACTACTTAGCCAGATAAAATGACGTCAACGACGATATTTACCAGATTTATCAGAGTAAATATATTTTTAAGGTATGTTATAAAGAACGTAACTAAATACTTTAATTACTCATGCTTGTGCTTATTTATATTTTACACGTAATTTCATAGCAGATTTGAGTGTTTTCTGTAGTTTTATTAAAGTTACATAATTTAACAAAGAAACAAGTTAAAGCTTGATATACTGTCATAAATAACTGTGTATTTCTTGCGTTCGATTAAACTAGGAATATAGATATAAAATTATTTTTTTAATATGCATAGTGCAAGCGGAGGTAGGTACATATTCACCCTGCACGCATTACCTGCCATTCCAGCATAATAAGTAAAATCGATTAGTTTAAGAGCCAAGGTAGATAAATATGCGTTAACATAATAAGTATTTATCAAAAGTGAACAGTTAACTATTTGTATAAAGAGAACAACGTGTATCGTTTCTATACTAAGCCTAAGGACTAAATTTTTTTTTATGTCCTAAGCTAAATTCAAATTGTTTATTTGCATACTATGTTTGGTGTGGTTTACTTTTGTACATTTATTTATCAATTTCGAGTACTAACAGTTTTTCTTTTGAATATGCAAACTCTATAAACTTGTTATGTTGTTTTCCGCGCACCGCACACAAGACAGTAGATTTGTTAACACAACAAACAATTTGAATCTGACACAAACAATAAGATATGTCAAGTCAAGTAAGTCAACCGACTTACAATCAATAATTATAATCATTTGGTAAAATTTATACATTCCCATTTTTCCCACGCATCTGCAGTTTCTTGATTTATGCAGCCATATAATGAACATTTCTCCGCGAATTGAGCGCGTCTACATTATGACAAGTTTCACCGTGCAACCGGCTCCCGGACTATGCGTAGATCCCCCCACGTTCGGTGCGCGCGAGTCAGTTTGTATTGTCCGAACCGACACAGGGGACACGCGCATCCTCGTAAATTCCTACCGTGTTGATAATACTAATGGAGTGATAAATAATTAATTAATTTGATTATATTCTGTGGAGATACGGCCTTAATTTGCGTTTGGAGGTTTATAAATTGGAGGTTGATTTAGTGTTTTTTCAGAAAAATGAAGGTAAGTTAATAAAAATGCTTAATTACACAAGCCTATTAGGGAACGGCGCCCTAATTAGACTTATTTTGTTTTTAACTAGGGTTGCCCATATAAACATAAATAGTTTTAGCGCCAGCAGTAACACTTATAAATACTTATTATAATCTATCAGATAGATTTAAAAAAATAAATATTTTAGCTTCATAATCTTAACATTACTTTAATATTTAACCCAGTTTAATTAAGGCGGATATGATTTAGTGCAATAAAATTAATTAAGACCCTGATGAAAATTTACCCAGACCATCTACCCCCATATTCCAAAATGAGTTTTTATGTGCGAGTAAGATTTAAAGCTAAGGATGAGTTTCATCACCTTAACTTTAACCGTAACTGTAACTCCGGTGTTTTTCTATGAAATTTGACAAATTTTGACGTTTGTTATAGTTAATGTAAGATGGTGCAAGTTGCAACTCAGGCAGGGTAAGACGTTAAATTAATCTAATTTTACGCAAAAAACAAGTTTCAGTTCGGGGAAATGACCTGAAAAATAATATCAATGCCAAAACAAAGGCCAAACAGAGCAATGCAGTGCAATGACCGCGTTGACAAATAATTTAATGACTGGATTGGTTTTATTTTTATAGTAAGGCAGGTGTATCTTGCAGAATATAAAAAGCACATAATTTCTCCTATGGTAGAGAAAGGTTTTTTAGAAATTTTTAGACCTAATAACGATGATTGTAGGTTTAGGTTAACGATATTTCGTTATTTAGTCAAACTGGTCTCTCAATAGAAAATATTTAAAGGGCGTCTTCAAAAGTCGTCTTGTTGTCTTTTTCAGTTGTTAAATAAATGAACACAACTATGGTGCTCAATTCAAATTAATATTTTGCCATTGATTAAAATATTTTATCTACATACCTACATTGTTGTGTTATTATAATCGGAAATATGTCATGTCCGGAAGTAAAATACAGAAAAAAACAGATAAAAACCTGCGTGGGTATATTATTATGTTGAAAAATGTAGACAAAATTATCTATTTCAGCACCACTAGATTTTAACTTTGTAAATGCGATGATAAAACTTAGAGAACTAAAGAAAACCATAAAAGCTAGGTTTATGGGCATGTAAAATGCAAATGGTCAATGTTAGTCAGTATCGTAAGGTAGGTAAATTAATGAAAGAAGTTTATATTACATATATGCTAGGTTTACCTAGCGCTAGATTAGCCTTCCTTATAAAGAGGAAACATGTGTATTTTTGTGTTTGTTATAGAAAAAGCTCCAAAACTACTGGACCAATTTGAAAAATTGTTTTACCATTAGAATCCATTTTTTTGTGATGAACATAGGCATATTTTCATTTTGTTTTAATTGATATGTTTTTACTAAATTACCTATAATAGTAGTTAGTATAGAGCTACCCGTGTGAAGTCGGGCGGGGCGCAAGTAACAAATATGTTATTATTGAAGTTTGCACAAACGCTAGTGTTTTGGGAACATCTTGTGGTCTGCGTTATCACCAACACACGATAAGCAGTTACGTACATTTAAATTAATCATCAAAACTCAAAAACAAGAACCGCGAATAAAAACATAACTAATTGTATTGGTCATAATTAACACATTACACTTGATTAATTACTAGGCTAAATTATCATATTTCAGAGATAACACTTGTGGGTGTATTTGTTTGAACTGCTAAACGTTATAATTACAACTCGACATACTATCATGATAAAAGCATTTGAAGTTATTTTAGGAATGTTAATTTGGAATGCTTAATAATTGTAAATTGGATATTGGGCGTTTAATGGTTCGAATGTAGGCTAGAGCTTATGGTCTACTAGGGTCTAGCAAATTAGATTATCCTAAAGGAACATCTTTGTATTTCAAAACATAATGCAAATCATATTTTCATCATTTCATCGTGATTTCCGTAATATTTACTTACATTGTGGACTTTTTATCACGTTATTTATTACATATTCAATTACGTATATGCTTCTTACGAACCTCTCATCACATATCATAAGTGGCCAATACATATTTTCACTGATTCACATGTAATATCGCGTGACCGATCTGTGGACATGCCTACTTATGTATATGTATAATGATGCCTATTTATGTATACATATAGTGATATATGAAAGTGTATTTTTTGTCCCTTAGATGATTTGTGCGGACCATGCTAAAGCGAGAGTGTGGCTTATCAAGCGTTACATTACGAGTAACGACCGAGAGAATTATTAAAAGGCTGAGTTGCACCACTTTACTTTAACCCTAACTATACTCAACATCAAATAAACCGCACCTTCCGCGACGCGAACTTTAACGATTTTCTTCTGACACAATCATGGTGCCCCACCAATATTGGTGTTATTTGAAAGCCGAATAAATATCCTTAAAGAAAAACACATTTAATTTGTTAATAAATGATTAACATATACCATAAATGTGACTTGAAAAAATACCTCACTTTGGGCCCACCTATGGGATCAATTAGACCAATTTTTATGGTTATAAAACCAAATAATGATCTCACGTGTCCTCTTTAACAGATGGATAGCGATTAATCCCAACTTAACAGTTTTATAGCCATAAAAGTTGGCTTTAGCGTAACTACCTATTTTTGAAGAAGTGACTCTGGATTCTTCTAAAGACACATTTTTGGGGTAAAAACCTTTTCTTTAATGAAATGAAGGTTAGAACTAGGCTTTTAAATGGTGCCAATATTGGTGGGAAGTGGGGATGCATACGTTTGAAAAAGCTTGTCGCGGGAGGTGCGATTTATTTGATGTCGAGTGTATAACCATAACAGGTTTGGCAGTCTTTTGGCGTTTGTTAAAGTTAAAGTAAGACGGTGCAACCCAGCCTATGTGTAATGTGTATGTAATAATAACTCAAGATAGTCAAATTAATTGCGCAATATTATAAACATTAAGATAGCCAAGCTGCTACTAGGCGGTCTTTTATGACTAAAACTTATAATACACCACTTTTTTTTTCTTTTTTTGTCTGTCTTTTGTTTTGTACTACTTGATCTGGCAATAAATATTTTCATTTTCATTCACTTAGGAGTTATGTAGGTTTGGTCTACATTTGAGCAATAAATAATGCATCAAACGAATCGCTTCTGTAATATACGAACTGGATATACCTAGACAATTATTTTTTTAAAATCAAGAGAAAGTAGGTTATTTTGAGGAGGGATCTACGAAACGCACATTATCACTTGTCAGTGTCATAGTAGCTCCCTGATAAGTGTTATCATCTCCCCATTATTTGTGCAAGCGGTGAACATCAAATAAAATATACCCATTTTTTCGTAAAAAAAAAAACAAGTACTTATCATAATATGAAACGAAAGGAAATAGACGATAGACGAAGCAAATGACAGCGCTATAATAATATTTACTTTCACATCATTATTATATTTAGTTACAGTTGAAAAACAGAGGATACGTATATAAATATCCATCACTAGATTACACCAGTCTTGGTAAATAAGTTTCTTCACAAATAAAATTATTTAAATCTACAAAAGTCGAGTATGTATCAGTTGAAGTCACTGTCGCATAATAATTAGGCTAGTTAATTAACAACTGACAAAAAGAAAACAAAGATTATCATATTAGTATTAGTCACATTTCGAGACAAACACGCATGTTTGGGAATTCATAGAATCGCTTTACGCACAACACGGCGCGTGTGGACTTGTGTGCAAAACAAACAAGCAGTGGTCTCTTTTTGGGATTATTCCACTTCTTCACCAGGGTGAAGAAACTGGATTTTTTAGTGTCCTCATTTCACCTCGGAACCATTTCACCCAGCTTGATTTTAAGCGGTCGCCTTTGTTCACCTAGGAATTAATTCACTCAGGTAAACAGATGCGAAGATCTGGGTGAATTAATTCCTAGGTAAACAAAGGCGACCGCTTTAGTCGAATTAATTCACGAAATGGTTCCAAGGAGAAATGAGGACACTAAAAATTCAACTTTCTTCACCCAGGGGAACAAAGTGGAATAATCCTTTTTGACAGGTCCACAGTAAAACACGGCAACCCACGTTTTATCCCAACTAATATTATAAATGCGAAAGTAACTCTGTCTGTCTGTCTGTCTGTCTGTCTGTCTGTTACGTTTTCCCGCTTAAACCTCGCAACCGATTTTGATGAAATTTGGCATAGAGATAGTTGGAGTCCCGGGAAAGAACATAGGATAGTTTTTATCCCGGTCTTTGAAACAGGGACGCGCGCGATAAAGTTTTTCTGTGACAGACAAAATTCCACGCGGGCGAAGCCGCGGGCGGAAAGCTAGTCTTTGAATAAAGCTTGTTGCAACATTATATTAGTAGAATACGCAATAGATGCAAACTATAGTCCCACACAGAACTGCCTACTGATTTTATATCCGGCGACTTTTCTAAAAGTGTGCCAGTTAGTTCGGCAGTGGCACAAAAGCGCGCACGAATTATTGATATGAAATCACAAATTTTAATAGTCAGCATTTTTAAACTATCAATAAATGGAAGGTCCATTAAAAAGAGAAATTGTTTGAAGGGAAGATACTGGACTGATTTGAAGTAAGCCCGTTGAATTGAGGCAGTATCCAAAGAGCAGCCGGTAAACAAGTTATTATTCAAGTCAGTGATATCTTTAGACTTTGTGAAAGACGCAAATTAAATCCGCACACAGAAAACGAAAAAAGCCACTTCGGAAGAGCCAACTAAATATAGCAAATAACAGTTATTTGTGCGTTTGCCGCGCGCCGCGAAACGGGCCTGTCCAGTATACAGGTTCGAATATTCCATGAACTAATTCCATAAGAAATCTATCAAAAAAGTAGTTATACCTAACTGCCGAAGTTTTATAACAGGTTAATGAGATTTTAGTACAAAAATATGTGATCTTGCACTAACTTACACCACATTTATTTTATCAATTCTTTCTTTCATAATATTAGTTGAGATTTAGCTCACACTGAATTATTATTATGTCTACATAATAGGTACCGAGCCAAGAGATAAGAACATAACAACTTGAACGAGAAAAGATAACTAATGCACTTTGGTTGTAGTTGGTATAAAAATTCTTAGTTAAAAGATCAACAAAAGATTTTTTGTAACCATAAAAGTATTTAAGTTATGATAAAATACAGCTGTTTTAAAAACGTGCTTTTCAAGTGATAAAAATTTGAGTCTGTATATAAACAGAACGAAACATTTACATAGGTACACTCAGTATTACATAATTTTACATGAACATACACTTAGTAATAAAATATAAATAAATAAATAAGTAATCAATAAATTACATATTATTGTAATATAATCAATAACAAAGTACCTACCTAACCCCAGCCTGATAAATGAATCCTTTTGACCCAACCTCGTAACTTTGACCTAGGCCTCGAAGACTAACAAAATTAGCCCCTTTACATATCATTAGCCATTTCATTGTTATCTGACCTATATTTCCAGGCACGAAGATGTGACACTGAATCATAATCGATCCATTAGGCAGTACATCGATTTGATTATCGATTTACATATCTGCCCAAGACTTGTACAGTTCCGAGAACTGTTTGCCTATTGATCGCGAAATGCAAATATGTGTAGCTTAGGGAAACCCCATGATTCTCATTCATTCGGAAAATCTTCTTTGAATAAAAAGTTGACTTGAATAAGAAAACCTCATCTCACAAAAAACGCGACTAATTGCAAACTCGCCAGAACGATTATTTCGTAATCATAATAGTTAAATAAACAAGTTTCGAAGTCAATATACTATGATAAATCATTCGACCCTATAGACACAGGACGTAGGAGTTCAACAAACGCATCATATCGCGTCGAAATGAGAATGTTATGAATTTTAGTGCAACGCGCAATCAGTTTGTGCCGCTAAAATTAACTTTTTGAACTGATGTAATTATGCAATTGTTACATTATGGGTCTAAGTTTTAGACATTTAGCTTAAGCATGCTCAATCTATACTCAAGTGTGAACTTTTCATATTAAATTAATTAAGTAGAGAATGAGCACGCGCAAACTAAGAATCTCAATTCAGAAGCCGGCCTTTGTTTAATTTAGACAGCCGCATAATCTGATGGTCCGACAACAATACCTGTGGCGGTTTTGGGCATGTTAGTTAAGCTACTTTTTGTACAGATCTATCACAAAAACATGTTTTTCAAACGATTGGGTTTGGTTCTCGCTTAGGTGTAGATTCATTATTTACAAGGATAATGTTGAATGCAAAGGCTAACCGGTTTAATTGTAATAAACGTGAAACAGTTTACTTCATTCGTACCTAGGTAGGTATGTGATGCTGCACACAAATAGTTGATATAAAACAAAATAGCTATACTACCTAGTTCGTTTTATCGATAAAAATGAGTCTGTTCGCCATATGGATAACGCATTGTCACGTTGCACGTGTCGTCGGAAGAAGTGTTTGCAAAAATTAATTTAAATATGAATGTCAAAATTTAGCCGTGTTACTATCCACTTGTTCAAATATTTCTTGAAATACTCATTTCATTATCCACTTGAAAAATTCTCGAGATATCAGTGCGGGTACTTGTAATATCAGTTCATGGTACGTTTGCTTTCGATTTTGATCATTAATCATAGTGTTCTATTTTGGTGAACGTCAGAATGGCGGGTGTATGGTCACAGAAATGAATAATATAAATATGAATTTTTAATACCTGAGGTGTACCTTTATGTACCTTTAGTTATTAATTTTGTACTTCCCTAATACGGGAACAATTTAAATTACAAAATGAGCCGCCAACCTGATATCAGGTTGGCGGGTGTATGCTGAAATTGGACGAAACAGGTAAGTTATGGTTTTCTTATATTTACCATTATTTAGTACCTCAAATGTACCTCACAAATATATTATGATAAACCAAATGCGACGAATAATTAACGAGAAAATTGATACGAAAAATTTGATGTCCACCATTTTTTTGATGGCCACCATTTCTTTTAACAAGTTAGAAAGTTGACACTGACACAGATAATACATACCATATAGATATTTTTTAAGTCTGTTTTTTATGGCTTGCACACTTGTGCATTTGCCAATGCCAATACTTTCCTAAAATCTAAAAGTATTGATAGTAGCGCCCTGCTGTAAATGTCATAAGGTTGTCCAACGTGGCAATAATAGGGATGTTGACTGGGTAATGAAATCGAAATTCTATTCAGTCCGTCAGACAGATAATAAAAATATTTTGGAGACATTTTTTTTTCATAATCTAATAATTACAGTATTATATTGAGTTGAAATGTCGCGTGACGTCACTTTTGAGTAAAAAATCTACTCAAGCGTGACGTAACGCGCCAATTCAACTCGATGTAGGACTGTTATTATTTAATTATGAAAGAAAATAAAAAATATGAGTTTAATATTTTCTAATATCTGTCTGACGGACAAATAATTGAAAATTTGTCATTTAGCCTTTAAAAGTATTGATTGATAGTAGTGCCAAGTGCTCTCCTGTATAGGTCTACCAGAATCTCATGGCAAACAAAAATATTGGAAAAGTGTGGCTTTCATAAGGAAATTGTCTATGGCTTTATTGTCACCTGTCAAAACAAATTACGAGATTTGTCAACCACTGCAGAAATTTTGTGAATCTTCATGATTATTTGTTATTTTTGTGAAAATATAAAAAAAAAACTCAAGCGAGTTATATTGTTTTCAATGTGTATTGTAAAATATGGCGTAATTTAAACTCAATCTTTGATTTTAAAGCACGTCGTTGAGTTGACAGGTAAGTCGGACTGAAATGTTAAGATTACGTTTAGTTTATTACCCGACTGCGTCAGAAAGAGGGTTATGTTTATTTTTAAGTATTATTCTTTCTTAATAGCAGCTTTATTGAGGTTTACCTACAGGTGAATCTCACAAATTGGTGCAGAGGAATGGTGAAAATGTTGTAACCATGTAAAGAAACTTGATAAGATTTCATCAAGCAAAATCATTATTAATCATCAAGCAAGATTGAATAATAAAATTGAAATACTGGAAGAGCAATTTATAATAAATAAATAATATCCTTGGACATTTTAGACTGCGCTTTTAGTCCCAAACTAAGCAAAGCTTGTATGTACTATAGGTACTAGACAACGGATATAAACATATTAAATGCTTTTCTTTTTAAATAATACATATACAGCCTTGGCCAAAAGTATTGAGCACCCCCTAAATACTGCTTATACATGATAACTATAAAAGATACTCAAAGATATTTGATAAAAACCTTTCTTTGACAGGTTTCGAAACATAAACTCACNTATTAGGAACTAAATGTTACATTTACAGAACTGTTCATAATATTTAAAATTTAATCAATAAAGATATTTTATGTAATTGAATAATTCACTGTGTTTAAACGAGCAAATCAAAGTCTAAATTAGTGACCGCCATCTATCGACGTGCTTTTGACGGTCGTTAACATTCATGAGAGCGAAGCCGTGAAACGTATCATTAGTCATAATTTAGTAATTAAATATTACATTTACGGAACTGTTTATAATATTTAAAAATTTATGTAATTGAATCATTCACTGCGTTTAAACGATCAAATAGTATTCAAACATTTAGATAATAAAGTTAAAAACCATTTAAAAATCCTATGAGAACTTTTTCGACTTCTACACGGACGAAGTCGCGGGCAAAAGCTATTTGTAAAATCATCATCACCATCATCATCATTTCAGCCATAGGACGTCCACTGCTGAACATAGGCCTTTGTAAAATAATTAGACTAAATTATTAAAAGTGCCTACCCAAAGTCATTATTCCACGCGGACGAAGTCGCGGGCACAGCTAGTAAACCAATAAATGATTCAGGTGCGGTTCAGGTTGTCTATGTTCCAAATCTAAGAATTAAAGAAACTAAAATACTAATATTATAAAAAAGAAAGATTTGTTTTTTTATATTTTTGTATTTAATAGGCTCCGAAACTACTGGACCGATTTTAAAAATTCTACATTATTTCTGATGAGTATATTATAGGCAATACGAAGTTCGCCGAAAAATATAGAATAATAATTTATTAATTAACAGAGTATTTGACAACGACATTAACAATTAAATCTTTTCTATTTCAGCAAGAAGTCCTATGTCTCGTACTACTTGGCTGCGGACTTGCGCTGGCAGCAAATCCTTGCTGTCCCGATGGCATGAACCTGGACCGACTTACCCGTCGCTGTGGCCGCTTCAACATGACGTCACTACCCGCCTTGGACTGTCCTGAAGGGAAACTTCTGCTGAGGGACATAGTGCTGCATGGAGACAAAGTGACTACTATGGATGCACCAGAGTTCGTTATTGTAGAAGATCCTACACAGTAAGTTATACTAAAAGCAATTAAACTATTACTCAACAATTCACGATGTTTCTCGCAATTTTGAATAGCATTTATCATTGATGTTGTTTTTATACATCAATAATAATTAATGCATCCTATTTAATTAATTATAATTATAAAACGAGTAAACTTAGCACTGTAAATCACTCTGGCACGACGGAAACAGTAATTATGTTATGTATTATGGAGGGAGAAAAAATTGTTAATGAATTTTCGGCTGAAAAAATACTATTAATATTCAGTTTGTTGGGTATCTGAAATACTACTTAGGTAGGTATACGCAATTTTTCCTTTCAGCCCAGACTTTAGTCCTTTAAATTACCTCCTCTTCTCTTATTATAATTGTTTTAGAATGAAACCCCCGTAAGCACCCTCGTGTCTACATAAAGCCATAATTTTCTAGCGGCCGCCCGCGACTTCGTACGCGTAGATCCCGTTTTACCCCCTTAGGGGTGGAGTTGCGTAAAATCCGTTCTTAGCGGATGTCTACACCCTAGGAACGTACCTGCCAAATTTCAAGTTTGTAGGTTTCGGAGATTTCATGATGAGTGAGTCAGTGACATTTCGATTTATTAAAATTAAAAGTATGATTTGTCTTTTTCAGATACTGCACAAGTTACATGATAAGAAACGCAAGTAGGCCAGAATTGGGGATGATGCCGGTAGCTTTGGCGTGCTTCCAGAAGGATACGTGGACCAATAACTTGGAGACCAGCGGCATTCTTACATTGGTATCTGTATTCTTTCTGGTGGCGACCATTGCGGTTTACAGCTACCTTCCGCAAATGAGGTTAGTTATCTACCTACTTTGCAAATAAATGTCTTTGTCTTTGTCTACTTTGTGATAAATATCAAACTATCATTATGTAACAAAACATCTCAAAAAACGTTCTATCCCAGTAAACCCGGAAGCGTAACAATTTTTCAATTGTGTCTCGATTGGGCTTGAAGGGATAATTCACTTTATTTTTTTAATTTTCAGGGATCTCCAAGGAATGTGCTATTTATGCACATGCATCAGTATGGCGCTAGGATTCTTATCCCTCGGGATGCTTCAACTTAATCCTGGATTCAGAAACGAAATATGCACAGTAACAGGTATGACTCCATATTTATAATACAAACTAATAATAAGAATACGAACTTTTGACGCCTGAAAAATTGCAGAAGCTATCTACAGATTTTGATACTTTTCATATAAAGATATATTACCTTACGTAATTTCGTGAGTGCTTTGGTCACTTACGCATTTTTCCAACGATCAAAATCTATAAAATCTGTGGCCAATAATAATATTATAATTTTGTTTCAGGATTCCTGGTTTATGCTTGGATGATTGCTACATTTTTCTGGATGAACGTTATTTGTATAAACACCTACCGGACTGTCATGTAAGAAAAATAATATATTTAACAAAAAATCTGTTACTAATTAGGGCATATATGCAGTTTAGGCAGGCATGCTATTCCATAGGTAAAAATTTTAAGAGTATCATGCGAAAAATTAACTCAAAAGTAAAAACTTGTTCACAAGATGAAGAGCAGAATTAATTGTGAACGAGTCAGTGCTTACAGATTGTGGTTACATGATCTTTTGCAATATGTATGCTATTTAAAACTGCCTTTTCTAACTAAGATTTTTTACAGGGATGCAGCATATTTGCAAAAAACGGAAAAGAAACAGTTCTTCTCATACAGCTGCTACGCTTGGGGCTTTACCATGCTGTTCCTCATCGTGGCCCTCATAACAAACTTCTCCGAAGGAAACCACTGGAAGCCTGGCTTCGGCGATGGCAACTGCTGGTTCAATGGACGCACGGAGACCTGGATTTTCTTCTACGGACCTATTGCTATTCTGGTCACCAGCAATGTCGTTCTTTTTGGATTGTCCTCATACAATTTGTGGCAGCAGACGAAGAAATACGAAGTGAATAAGCTTAACAACCTGAGGCACAGGTAGGGCACTAAATATTTTATTAGAAGTATCTTGTTGTTCCGAATGTTACGACCTTTTTTGTTGAATGCTATCTGAATTTTCTCCAATAAATCAAAGCTTAGTACTTGTACTTACTTACTCGTAAATATATTATAACTCATCTGTATTTCACTTACAGGTTCTTGTTATCTCTGAAACTGTTCCTGGTCATGGGCATTTCCTGGATATTTGAGATCGCGAGTTTCGCTCATGGAGAGGCGCATATCATTTGGTAAGCACCATCCTTTAGGTGTTCTGGTACCTTCTCTGGTCTTAATGAATCATCGAATTTAACTATTTATTTCTTCATTCTTCCAGGAAAATAATGGACACCTTCAACTGTCTACAAGGCGTGATCATATTCCTTCTCCTGGTGCTGTTTAGGAGACGCGCGATCCGCGGTTTAGCCAACGAGAACTTCTGTGTGTTTATCACTCGTCCCCTCGCAGAGAAACTGAGTCCTCACGATGATGAAGATGATCAGCACATATTAGGGGACGAGACTGTGGAGGTTAGGCTAAACTAGATATAAAGACATAGATAGAATGGGATAAACGCACACTGATTGTGCCAAAAGAATGTTCTTTCTTTGCTGTTAAATTATCGGGTGATTTGCCCAATGTCATTAGTGTGTAACGAACGAACCTTTGAACAGCGAATTCGGTTGAGCAAAAGGGATGTGTGAATTGTAATGATCTTTTATAAGTTACGAACTGTAACGCTCCAGTGCACTCCGCTAAACGCTTCTCATTTAATGAATTGATTTGATTGCATGAAATTAAACCAAGTCTGGTACTGTAATTGTATTCTAGAAGTAATTTTATATTTTTAATTATTTGCAGGCAATATGAATCTCGAAGAATTGGATTTCATATCTACATTATTGTTAGCTATCGGGAGTTGTTTACTTAGGTCATGATTTACTTGTAGGTAATTTTAAAATTGATGAAGCATTCTGATCGTTTTGTTGTAACACTGTGGATAGGTCATGCATGATACTGATAGTGCAGTTTTGTATTCAAGATTTGTGCCATATTAATTACATTATTTGTGGTATGAAGAGTAAACGTATGATTGAAATGCAATTTATTTTATAAGTATTTTTTGTTATTGAAAAATAACAAACATTTAGAGGAATAAGAAACTCAATTCTCGTAATGTCATAATAAGTATAATAAAATTTAATTTTAATTACTTAATTCAACTACTTAGTATATAAATTAGCATTTACCAATGTAAATACTAAGTTAAAAATCTATGTAATATGTTTTTTAATAAATTATTTTGTTCCTATGTAAAACCAATGTTACGCCAAATGCATGAGAAATATGAAATAAATATATATTTTTTGTTTCAATTTAAAAGTTATTTTATTTTTACACAGATTTATTTAAATTAATTGTCGGCCGTTTGGTGTAGTGGTTCAGAACGGACTACTATGCCGAGAGGTCCCGGGTTCGATTCCTAGCCGGTTAGAAATTGAAATGATGAATTTTAATTTCTGTGACGAGTCTGGGTGAACTGCATTCTAATGTTAAAAACATGTAGGTCCAAGGTTCTGAAACAGTGAAACATCTAAACTTCCCTCCAGTTTCTGAAATAGGCAACTTTGACTCGATTTGTAGAATGAAATAATTTTAGATCTTTAAAAAACCCAAGTCGTTATTGTAGTAACCCTAACTAACTAGAAGCTCCGAATATCCTCTAATCTTTTTATCAATTAAAATCGATTTTATCTATTAAAATAAAGTTAACTGCTTTTGATTAAATTGTCCTTCGCACGTTATAAAAATAAAAATGTCAAAAGGTATAACTGACATCTGTCATAACGATCGATCTGTCAAACAAACTGACGAAAATCGTGATGTTCAAAAGGAAATACGAAAGAAATTGGTGAAACTTCTCGATAGAATATTGAATTTTATATAAATTAAACGTGTTGAATTGACAAAACATTATTTACGTTTGTGACCGCTCGCTCAAACTGGGGATGTGATACACAAGTGCGTTAATGTTCGGGCCTAAGGCTAACACAATACATCGTCGTGACTGGATTCAATGAACAGTGCCTTTTTCTAAGAAACGAAGATGCAGCGTCTAACGATATTAATAACATTGCTCTTTACATACTCTCAAGCTAAGCATAATATGGAAACAGATCTAAATGGACTAGCCGAAAAAACGTATGGCGTAAAGATAAACAAATGTTGCGAAGAGGAACAAATAATGGTCGATATATCATGCAGGTTAGCTGAAACAGTCAACCAAAGTAAGTAGAAACGTGTGTAGTATTGAATAATACATATCCTTACACTCAAACATCAGCAATCAGTGTGCTGTATAGAATTACATTAGTATGGTTGACGTCATATGATATCATTCTTTGTTTCAGGTCTTTGGGAACCTAATTTTATGACTGAAGATGGTAAAAAAACTACCGTAGAAAATTACCAATTTGTGGTTGGATTACCTGATTGTGAAAACACGCAAATGAGAGCAATTTACTACATACCAAATTCCGAGGATGAGTAAGTTTGAAAAATAATGTGTTAAGCAAGCTTTTAATTTATTATCAAATATGTTTAAATTTATATTAATATTCTGTTTTAAAGGTTAAACATCCTATCCGATGGCCGGTTACACCACATAATTCACCACACTCATAGTATAGACACAATAAAAGAAGATCCACTGCTCAGCAACACTTTTGGTATAAATGAACCAATCACTATACCAGAGGTGAAGGAACCAACATCATACATTCACGAACAGAAGAAGTATTGTATGGACAAGGTAAAAATAAATTATTCTTGAATACTTAAGCAATGTATAAAAATTTATTTACAATGTTATAATTTTTTTTAGATATTCATGACGAAAACAAACGTAACTGGAGAGTATGCACTAGTGTGTGTACCCGATGTAAAAAACTGGAGAGATGTGAATTTTATTATGACGAAAATCTTAAACCCTCTGTTTCATGGTATTTCTATAATTTTATTCCTCATCGTGGCAATCATATACTTTGTGCTACCGACACTCAGGGATCTTGCGGGAAACATCATCACTACTATCAATGTTTGTTTAATTGTTAGTCAAGCGGCTGACTTTGTGAGGATATTTACCGAATACAGCAATCATGTCAGCTTTATGGTGACTGGTAAGTGAATTTCAAAACAATGCTCTTTTTACTTTTGTATTGGTCTGTGTAACCTAAAATTGTTTTATTTTTTTCAGATATAATTTTGTATATCAGTTTGCTGGGTGCTTTCTTCTGGCTGAACAGTTTTGGGTTTTACATTTGGAAAACATTCAAGTAAGTTTCATTCAAGACTCCTTTGAGCTATCCATAAGTTAATTTATGTAATAAATATTTGAAAATATTGTAAACTAGCTGACCCGGCGAACTTTGTTCCGCCTTAATGGCAATAAATAAGCAGACTTTTTTTTTAATTTCGAACGGGATAAAAAGTATCCTATGTCCTTCTCCTGGCTCTAAACTACCTTCCTGACAATTTTCAGCTAAATCGGTTCAGCCGTTCTTGAGTTATAAGCGAAGTAACTAACACGACTTTCTTTTATATATATATATACTAGCTGACCCGGCGAACTTTGTTCCGCCTTAATGGCAATAAATAACGGGATAAAAAGTATCCTATGTCCTTCTCCTGGCTCTAAACTACCTCCCTGTCAATTTTCAGCTAAATCAGTTCAGCCGTTCTTGAGTTATAAGTGGAGTAACTAACACGACTTTCTTTTATATAATAGATAAATATTATAAATGTGTTATGTAAATGTTACAGATCAAGAAATGTTTTTCTAAGAGTGACTGATGTGAGGAAATACTGTTATTATTCAAGCGTTGTTTGGTCTAGCGTAGTAATAATGGCAGCGATGGCAATCTGCGCACATTTCCTGTTGGACACCGGAACAAACCCTAACAGAAAAATGAGGACACAATTTTCATCGTCCATTATTGTGAATGATGTTGAACAGGAAACTATAGGTAAATAAATCCTTAAATGCTTTAACTGTAGCATAATCAGCATCACCAGTCACCATAATCATGATTTTATGGACGACAGTACACCAAAGTAAACAGTCATATTTTGCAGCAAAATTGTATAATTTGATGTACTGGAAACAGAAGCAAGTGTGTAAAACATGCCTGTGATAATTTTGTATTGTATTCTTGAGCAGTATAAGTGTGTTATCTAAACAAATTAGCTTAACATGCTTTGTAATTAGTTCATACTAGCGGCCGCCCGCGACTTCGTACGCGGTTTAGATTTTTTCATACAAATGTTTTTTCCCGCTAACTCCCGTTCCCGTGGGAATTTTGCAATATCCTGTTGTAACTAAGCTTTAAGTTTACTAAGGTACCTGCATGCCAAATTTCAAGCGTCTATCTTACGCGGTTTAGATTTTTACATACAAATGTTTTTCCCGCTAACTCCCGTTTCCGTGGGAATTTAGCAATATCCTGTTGTAACTAAGTTTTAAGTTTACAAAGGTACCTGCATGCCAAATTTCAAGCATCTAACTTAAGCGGTTTAGATTTTTCATACAAAAGGATTTTCTCGCTAATTCCCGTTCCTGCGGGAATTTCGGGAATTCCTTTCTTAGTGCACCTCTACGGTACCTAAGCTACGTCCTTTCCAAATTTCAAGTGCCTACGTTTAGCCGTTTAGGCTGTGCGTTGATCTGTCAGTCAGTCAGTCAGTTTCTCCTTTTATATATTTAGATTTAGATTGTCACTGATTACTAGGGTCACTGATGTTACATCGAGGATACATGCTAGTTGAGTTTAACTAGCTTTAATTACTGTGTCTAGTTTCAGTTAAATTAACGTTTTGAGATATATGGAACTGATAAATTACTATTTCTCTTTTTTAGGTTGGCTTGGGATTGCAATATTTTTCACGCCTGTTGCCTTCACGATTATATTCAATATTTTCTTTTATATAACCACACTGAAGGTTATAAAAAGGATAAATATTTATGGGCGAATACACCATAAGCTCAAAGGATGGTATGTATAATAATTTGCAGCACTTATTGCATTTTCTTGTTTCGAGAGTGTGTTAGAGAATGTTTATTATTTATTTTCAGTTTCGACTTGTTCCTTCAACTGTTTCTCATCATGACAACGACTTGGCTGTTCCTCCTGCTCTCTTGGCTTAACTTCGATGGACTGGTATATGCTTATATTATTGTGAATCTTTTGCAAGCCATACTTGTGTTCTACGTGTGCATAGTACGCCAGTCACACGTAACGTTCTTGTTACGGAAAAGCTGCTGCTATGCGGAGCCAATACCAACTAATGACTGGGGAGATGAAATGACCAGAATGAATGGTTTTAATTATAATTAGGGAATCTCGCCACAGATGCTGGAGCAATTCGCGCTGGTCTTTAAAAGCATAATTTTAAAAGAATTAAAATAATACTCTGATTGAAATCCCATCGGCTATGTCGAAATGAATTTAAACATAGGATTTGTTCAGCTTTTAAGCATTCTAAAGGTAAGAATTAACAATGGGACTGAATCTCTTGCTACCTACACCATGACATTCCGGTTCTGAATCACTGACAGTAGAGTAATTAATCACAAAGTATTGAGCACATTATACAGGGTGTTTGGCGCATCGTGTGCCAAAATGATTTGGCGGATAGAATGGGTCATTTCCTATATTTTCAGCCCCCATAACACGTTCCATACCAGGCGGCTACTTTTAAATTAATTTTTTTAGTAATTTCACCAAAATACCCAAATCGCATCATTTAATTTCGATTTCAAAAAAAACTACTAGGCGCAGCCCTAAAGTAAATATTTTGTTTTGACGTGCATTAATGTAGGGTTGCATCAAATCTAAATTTATTGGCAAATATCATCTAGTTTTTTTAAAATTCAGCTTTGAAGTTTTCCGAAAAGTTAAAAATGGACTGAACATTTAAGTTTACAAGGGTATAATTTTTTTTTTAAAAGAGATAGCGATCTTCGGATTTTATCAAAACTTCTCTAGTCTATCCTCATTCAAACGGTATACTAATCTTGTTTAAATAATAACAACAACTTCACAAATTCCTTAAATTAGTGCATTGACTCTACTCGGACTGATTTGCGAAATTTGTGTTTATAGCTCCTTTTTGTGTGAATAGCACGTAGAACACCTAACAGGTAAAAATTATTTATCTTATGCAATGTAAAAACCTTTTCCCTATCGTTTTTCAATGTGGATTTCTTGAAATTAAAGACGAAAATAATTATTTTGATCGTTTATTAATTATTACAAATTTTGTTCAAAATGTCCGCCTCGGCAACGTATACACTCAAGACATCTTCTTCTAATTTCGACTGTTGTCGTATGCAGCCACATTTCTCTTTTTATTACTAATAAGGCGTTTTCTATTCGTTGTAGTTTTTCTATTGTTTGAATCCGTTACTTACACCAGTTCTTTAGCTTGTCCCTAGACGTAAAAATCGAACGGAGTTAGGTCTGGGGAACGTGTAGGCCACTGTATAGGGCCATCTCTTCCAATCCACGAGTAGAAAACGCCTTTGTAGTAATAAAAAGAAAAAAATTAGAAGAAGATGTCGTGAGTGTATACGTTGCCGAGGCCATTTTGAACAAAATTTGTAATAATTAATAAACGATCAAATTCATTATTTTCGTCTTTAAATTCAAGAAATCCACATTGAAAAACGATTGGTAAAAGGTTTTTACATTGCATAAGATAAATAATTTTTACCTATTAGGTGTTCTACTTGCTATTCACACAAAAAGGAGCTATAAACACAAATTTCGCAAATCAGTCTGAGTAGAGTCAATGCACTAATTTAAGGAATTTGTGAAGTTGTTATTATTATTTAAACAAGATTAGTATACCGTTTGAATGAGGATAGACTAGAGAAGTTTTGATAAAATCCGAAGATCGCTATCTCTTTTTAAAAAAAAATTATACCCTTGTAAACTTAAATGTTCAGTCCATTTTTAACTTTTCGGAAAACTTCAAAGCTGAATTTTAAAAAAACTAGATGATATTTGCCAATAAATTTAGATTTGATGCAACCCTACATTAATGCACGTCAAAACAAAATATTTACTTTAGGGCTGCGCCTAGTAGTTTTTTTTTAATCGAAATTAAATGATGCGATTTGGGTATTTTGGTGAAATTCCTAAAAAAGTTAATTTAAAAGTAGCCGCCTAGCATGGAACGTGTTATGGGGGCTGAAAATATAGGAAATGACCCATTCTATCCGCCAAATCATTTTGGCACACGATGCGCCAAACACCCTGTATTTAAGATAATTGGTAGAATTACTGTGATTTTACCTAGAATTAATAACTGAGAAGTAAACTGTATCCTAAAAGTGTCTTCAAAAAAGAGAATTATTTATATTGGTGTTAAAAATTGACAATTTCCATTTTTAATGGATTATGGAGTATTTGAAAAACATAGTTAATAAGTATAAAAGAAACTCGAGTGCTCATAAGGATACTTAATTTTTATCGGATTTAAATATTTTAATTGGTTTAAACTAAGTGAATGTGAAAGGATAGATGTTTTTTGTGAATGGCGCATTTTGCAAACAAATCTAGAATATCTGATAGGCAAATAAAGACTAAAGAAATAGTAAGTAAGTAGAAAGTTTATGAATTTAAATAATTTAACGCAGTGAACGAATCTTAAACGCAGCTTTAGCACGTAAGTTAGCCATACGCACCGCCACAAATATTAATGTATTTAATGGTATTTTATTACTAAAGTGCGGTCGCCGAGCACGTAGAATTTCGTCCAATAACCTCAAGCTACCCATCCTTATCATCACTCGCGAGTAATCATATTGCTGTCGCGAATGAGCTACGGGCGGCCACAGTGAGTATGCGAGCTCGACAGCAATATAATTAAATAAATAAATAAATCTTTATTAATTTCTTCACAAGTAAGTTTCCAATTACATGTAGGTACTAACAATAAAACGCATTTTTAAACAATATTACTAATTACTATTAGTTACGCGCGAGCAATAAGAATGGGTAGCTTAAGGTCATTTGACGAAATTCTACGTGCTCGGTGACCGGACTTTACTAGAAATAGTTAGTACGTATATACTTATACATATGTTGTAATATGTAACGAGCCTAAATATCCGTCCGTTTTGTATTCACAGCAGCTAAGTAGGGTTAGTGATTTAAGATTTTTAACTTAACAAATCAAGGAGCATTTAAATTTTTTATTACTAATTTCATTGACTACACAATTTGATTTATTTTATAATATTTACTAATATGTATACCATGACATAATTATGAGAATCTTTTATGTGAATGACGCATTTAATTTTGTATTTTTATTATTTAAATAAACCCATTTAAAATTAACCAAATATTTTTTAATTATAAAGTGTATCTTATAAAAACCCTGATAAAAATGCTTTATACAGTGTGAGTCACGNTAAATATATTGACTTGGTCATCGCATGAAAACACGTGTAAATAAAATTATTTAGTGCGATGGCCAAGTCAATAATTTATGTAAAACGTTAAAGATTTCCTGGCCTGGACTTGGTATTACATGGATCTCACAACTTTTTACCGTAGAACAACTGAGTTGCGAGACTTGGTTTTTTTGACAAGTATTGTTTTTGATGGGATTATTCATTTCTGTGACCATACACCCGCCATTCTGACGTTCACCTATTTTGGTATACTTAATAGGCTCGCCCGATACTTTTTACGCTGGTATCAAATTCCAACCGCACATCTATACTAATATTATAAAGCTGAAGTTGTGGAATACGACGCTCAACCACCATAAAGAGCTATGGTGTTAATGCATCTATTTGCACAATCTTGGTTTGTCTATATATACTGGGCAGGGTAAAAAACTTCGTCACCGCGATGCAGGATTGTATGCGCGGTGGAGTTTGCCATAGTAAGATCGTAACAGCGCCATCTGTTGGTACGGTTTGTAGTGGCGCAATTTATTAATCTCAGTTTGTTTATTTNCTATTGATAAATATATTTTTTTCCACAAAAGTTCCATTTTGGGCTTTATCGAAATAGTAAAAATTCTAAAGCTGCGACCTTCTACCTCGGAACTTGATAAGGGCCTTGAACCACCCACAAAGATAATGGTAATGACCAAACGAATTCATTTATTAACTTCCAATGTTGAAGGACAATGTCCAAATTTCCGCTACCGGTTACGTTCTGATACTTCTGATATGACCGTTAAAATACGATAGTACTCTTTAATACTATACGTTACTGTTTGCAACAAATGTTAAATAGCGCTTATATCTGGTTATTTAGATGATATGACTCATCTATGAGTACGGACTACGGTCATACGGTCGTACACTAAATGCTAATGAGTGCCTACAAGTATTTACGTATGAATACTGCTGTATGAGCAATGAGCATTGCCGCAATTACATATTGAGGAACTTGAGAGGTTAGCTTTTGGCTTTTTATCTCAGTTGGCAATAAAATTGCAGAAGTAATATTTGCTGGTCACCTAATAACGGCAAATACTTAATTCAAAGTAGCAACGCATCGGCCGTTTGTTATAAAAGTTCATGTAAATTAGAAAACTTTTACTCCAATGTCGTCGACAGTGCTGCCGCGATATTTTCGTAAGGGTCTTCAAAATGCATCAGTAAATGTCGCCGATGACTACATGTGAGCCTACAGTAGGCCTAAGATGCTCGCCGCGATAAGCGGTTATCACGCCATTTTATCGATTTGCCCATACATTTTGACGTCGATAAAAGTTATCACGGCGCGCATCTTAGGCCTACAGCAACCCTAATAGACTTTGTGTGTGACGTCACACTGACGGTCTATGGAAATCTTTTAGTCTTTTGTTAGCAATTTTCGTGAACAAGTAAACTAATATTTTTGCTCTAGTGATTGGTGCGGCATTGAGGTGACCAGAACTTTTTTGAGCGCTGGATCCGCGCCTAGTGACACACCTTGGCAGCTTGGCTACAATAAATGGATCTGACGCAAACCGTACACTTCGGTAAATAATGTTTGTTTAGCAAAGTGCGCATTTTACGAAGTGCTCATTCTGCGTCAAACCGAACTAAAGTAAGGTGACTGACCTGCGAAAACAGCTGTCCCTCCGGGCGACGGGCGAGCGAGGCTAACTGACTGCGCACCACAAGATGACAGTCGTCCATCACCGTGTTGAAGAACCGCCGCGTCGGCAGCAGCGCTTCCAAGTCTATCATCAGCTCCAGGAAGCGCTCGCAGTACCTACATAGATATTGGAAATTAGCATTAGGCACAGAATAGAGAGAGATGGATGGGGTTTAAAACCCGGTTTCCACAAAGGCGGAGCGGGGCGGAGAAGAGATGTGTCGGATGGACTCACTTTTGTATAAAATTAAAATTTGACAGCGGTGGCTGCGCGGAGCGGAGAGATGTGGAAATAATGAAATCTGATTGGTAAAACAAAACACGTCTCCGCTGAAACCGGGCCTAGGAGGCCTAGCGAATGAGGGCTATCGTTTTTACACTACACAGTTGGCACCAGTGGCGAGTGACAGAACTTCATTCAACAGTGGCGTCGTCCTGGTAAGTGTAAAGTGGCGGCGTAAGGCGTGGGCGACGTGGGCCACCGCCTACGGCCTCGCGGTACAAGGGGCCTCGCGCATCAAAAATTTTGAAAAAATGTATACAAGGTGGAGATGACAATATCACAATACGACAATAAATGCAAACATTGACTATTAAATATAAATTCTTGATAGCTAAGCAATGTAGTTAAAAATAAAAATATTTTTTTTTCCAAACAAATTCAGCCATAATCAGACTCAAAATTAAGCAACAACACGGTTTTAAGTGACGAACATTATTCTTTGGCGCAATATTCCTTTAAAAACAATCACTAAATCAAGAAATCAGAAACTGTCAATGAATAGACCATTGACCCGTTTTTTTTTATTATTTCATAAAATCCGTCTTCAGGTCGCCACAGAACAAGGCCTCGCGAAATCTGTCTTGCCCACATCAAATTTAGGTCTTGCCCCGCCACTGTAAATGCTATAATCCTTCTACTACCTCAGTGCTCACCAGTTAGCCCCACTATCTTAGCCATCTTAGCTTAGCAATGACAGGACCTTACTCTACAGTGGCGTAAACTGGTGAGCGCAACGATATCCCTCTTTGGTCGAAGAATTCTTCAGATTATAATAATGATGACGCGGAAACTAATAATGGCAAGAAAACCGAAAGATGGAATGGCGCAAGACTAAGAGGATAAATATCGACATGAACTATTCTAAAAAAATATAGCAAACATGACACACACGAATTCCTTTATGGGTTTCCAACATCGCTAAAGCTTTTTCCTTTTTATTTTAGTAGTGATCCAATTACCTCACAACATTGGGGTCCACGTCGCCTGTCTGTGGGATGCTCTCCAGCACCCTCATAAACTTGATCATGAGTCGCTGCAAGTAGCGCCGCTCCCAGTTCAGTTTGTCCATCAACTCTGGCTTGTCTTTCTTCTGTATGGCGCGCCAGTATTTACGCCACTTCGGCACTATTTTGAACTCTTGATTTCGGCGACCTGAAACCAAATATGAAAAATAATTTTATTGTACTGTTGGATCGAAGCGAAACGAAACGCAAGGGCAAGACCTCGAGCAGTGCCTTCGCGCTCTTTCAAGATTCTGTACTCGGAACTGACACTTTTTCTGAAGTTTATAAAACCAAGGGGTCATGCACAAATTACGTCACACGTTAACAAGGGGAGGGAGGGGGTCGATGAAGTGTGACAAGGGGGTGGGAGGGGTATTAAATATCGTGACTTCACAACACAGTTGCTTGGACTGCAAAACTGTACCGGGTACAGTGTACCCCTATGCTTCCGAATCAGTGAATAGAAGTCAAATGTTGTTAATAGCCTCCCTTCCCTCCTAATAGGAGTGAAGCGAACAAAGGTTGTTTCTTTCTCTTTCCTTAGTTTATGATACCAACCTTCCTGGAGGCTGATCCACATGCTGAGCGAGACCAGCCGCTTGACCTGGTCCCGGCAGAGCTGCACCTCCATGCTGCCGAAGCAGTGGTTGAGGAACAGTAGCAGCGCGGTCTGTTCACGCATGTTGTTGGGGTTGTGGTCTCTAAGGCCGCGAGTGGTCTGTGATACCAACCTTCCTGGAGGCTGATCCACATGCTGAGCGAGACCAGCCGCTTGACCTGGTCCCGGCAGAGCTGCACCTCCATGCTGCCGAAGCAGTGGTTGAGGAACAGCAGCAGCGCGGTCTCTAAGGCCGCGAGTGGTCTGTGATACCAACCTTCCTGAAGGCTGATCCACATGCTGAGCGAGACCAGCCGCTTGACCTGGTCCCGGCAGAGCTGCACCTCCATGCTGCCGAAGCAGTGGTTGAGGAACAGCAGCAGCGCGGTCTGTTCGCGCATGGTATTGCTGCTGTGGTCTCTAAGGCCGCGAGTGGTCTGTGATACCAACCTTCCTGGAGGCTGATCCACATGCTGAGCGACACCAGCCGCTTGACCTGGTCCCGGCAGAGCTGCACCTCCATGCTGCCGAAGCAGTGGTTGAGGAACAGCAGCAGCGCGGTCTGTTCACGCATGTTGTTCCTGTGGTCTCTAAGGCCGGGAGTGGTCTGTGATACCAACCTTCCTGGAGGCTAATCCACATGCTGAGCGAGACCAGCCGCTTGACCTGGTCCCGGCAGAGCTGCACCTCCATGCTGCCGAAGCAGTGGTTGAGGAACAGCAGCAGCGCGGTCTGTTCGCGCATGGTATTGCTGCTGTGGTCTCTAAGGGCGGCAGTGGTCTGCGATACCAGCCTTCTTGGAGGCTGATTCACATGCTGAGCGACACCAGCCGCTTGACCTGGTCCCGGCAGAGCTGCACCTCCATGCTGCCGAAGCAGTGTTTCTGCTGTGGTCTCTAAGGCCGCGAGTGGTCAGTGATACCAACCTTCCTGGAGGCTGATCCACATGCTGAGCGAGACCAGCCGCTTGACCTGGTCCCGGCAGAGCTGCACCTCCATGCTGCCGAAGCAGTGGTTGAGGAACAGCAGCAGCGCGGTCTGTTCGCGCATGGTGTTACTGCTGTGGTCTCTAAGGCCGCGAGTGGTCTGTGATACCAACCTTCCTGGAGGCTGATCCACATACTGAGCGAGACCAGCCGCTTGACCTGGTCCCGGCAGAGCTGCACCTCCATGCTGCCGAAGCAGTGGTTGAGGAACAGCAGCAGCGCTGTCTGTTCACGCATATTGTTGCTGTTGTGGTCTTCCGCTACACTCGCTCGGAGGACTTGCTCGAAGAAGGCTGGGAAGTGGTCTGGCTTTTTTAGGAATGCCTGGAAAATCCAAAGGATAAGCTTTAGTATTTTTATGTTTGAAGCTTTCTCTGAATTTAACTATATTGTAAAATTCGTTCTTCAAATCTCATTGTTGTTTTGTTGCTGAAATATGCCCAAATCTGTTAATTAAGCCATTAATGTGTGAATGGAGATCATACTTTAGTGCTAAGTTCAGATGGACCAGCATCTACGCGCGTACATTCTTACGCGCATAGGCGGGTTTTAGAATCGCGCTGACCGCTCGCTGATCATCGGCGAGTGATATGGCGGTCAACCTACGTCAACGAGATTCTAAAACCAACCATAGAGGTTCTAAATTATTACACAGACCAAAGATTTCACTTCTGCAAGGATCTATTATTTGCTGACTTATTACCTGCCAAGCTGGAACCCTTTCCCGGAACTTCTCGTTGATCATCACGATGATGGACATCATGTGCGCGTGCGACGCCTTCCCGGCTTCATAGTGCGGCCACAGGTAGTTCTCCAGGTATTGGGAGAACTCCAGCATCATGACCCGACGTACTGCAAATCTGGAATAAGTAGTTTGAGTTTTAATTATTTGAAGTTCTAAAAAATTACTGACAATCATGTAAGTAACTTAATCAAAACAAATGTTTAAAAACACTTACTTTTATATTTAGAATATTTATAAAACTTACACACAAGTACAAATAAAAAATTACCTTATTTTTCATTTTTATAAATTATCCACTTAGTATAAAAAATAGAATTAAATGAAACTCTTATTTTTTGGACTTAACATTTTTACACACTTAACAATAAACTTTTATCAAACTAATGCCCTAAACTCCAAAATGCCACTGGCAATTTTCAAAATTAAAAACAAAATAGGTCAATGCCCCCAATCTCAGAGGCCGTTGACCTTCTTCACTTGTTTGCATCAGTTAGGCTCAGACTTTTGAGAGTGAGAGTGCAATTTTGGAATTCTGTAAGTGGAACACAACTTACCCTGATCCCAGGATCTCTGCATGGTATATTGACTCCACAATAGCAGCATCATAAGGTAAATGGCTTTCCTTAGTTTGTGGGGACCAGTATTGGGAAGCGAGCTGTGAACAGTAAGGCCATGATGGTTAATTCAATGAGGAATGTTACATAGATTTCGGTTGTAGGAGTCCATTAATAAACACCAGTAGGCTTCCAATTTTAGTAGCAATATTTAAGCCAACATGATATTAAACTTATTTATTGTTATTTATTCACTTAACAACAGTAATGAGTTTCTGTAGATAATAATGTACTTAGTAACATTTGCAATTTTACTACTTTTCACCATAATAAAATAAGTAAAAGTAAAGTAAATGAAACTAAAATTTCATATTTATCGATATAATTTGATACAATAAGATTTTAGTAATAAATGAAGATACAATACTTGTAGAGTATAAAATTATATTCTATGGAGAACAATACTATTTGTATGAATAAGGGCAGCCTTTTGAACTTTTCTTATTTGTGTCTGTAATGATAGTCTGATTTATACTATAGAGCTTTATTATTATTTTGAATAAAAGGAGCTGGTTTTCCTGATGATAAATGATAATAAGAAATAAGATACATCAGATATGTTCTCTTAATTGAATCGTTCATGCTTCTACAAGCAACATGTGAAGTTCAGATGTGAACATGTTACAGTGTTAATTAAATCTAAATATATAAAAGGAGAAACTGACTGACTGACTGACAGATCAACGCACAGCCTAAACGGCTAAACGTAGGCACTTGAAATTTGGAAGGGACGTAGCTTAGGTACCGTAGAGGTGCACTAAGAAAGGAATTCCCGAAATTCCCACGGGAACGGGAATTAGCGGGAAAAACGGGATTCACGCGTACGAAGTCGCGGGCGGCCGCTAGTTACATGTAAAAATATAGATTATAATATTTTAGCCAAGATTATTTTTATACACGTTAGTTTTTATGAACCAAAGCGTAATTTACTTAGAAAACCGACCACATTTAATGCATCTTTGTGTTGTTTTATTCCGAAAACCTATAGGTTCAGCATTCGTTTGTTTACATTTTTTATGAGACAAACCGGGTCTTCTGAAACCTTTTATTATAATTATATTATGTTAAACAACAATATGCATTTATTTTGAATGGGAATTAGACGCTAAACTTGGATTTTACTTACAAAATGTTATGAAATGTAAAGCTAACCTCAACAAAGACTTACTTGAGTTATTCTATCAGCATTTATTTGTGAGAGGGTCGGTAACGGGATTTTAGGTTTATCTGCGGGTGGCGCTGTATCGACTTTCATCTTTAGATCTTGGCTATCCTTATTTTTATAAAAGTTATTGAATAAAAACAAGCAGTGCGGCAATCAAGAGAAATGAACACACAAACAATGTCACTGTCAATGTCAAACGGTTGTGACGTTTGGTTTTTCGTTCTGAAATTTAACAACCAACATTCGTGTAATTTTACGTTCATGCTTTAGACTTGCTGTAAAGAGGGCGCGCCATTTTGATAAATTGACCGATTATTATTATCGAAATATTATCAAAGATACTGAGACTCTACATTTTGAGACAATTTTCGTACGAAGTTGTTGTTGCCACAGCATGAACATTAAAGTTTTGCCAAATTCGTTTGTTTTTATTACTCCGTTCTAACATTTTCCAGGTATTAACTTGATTAGTTTTCGTCCGTACTTTAACACACTTATCAGACCAATTAGCGTCTTGATAAACAATCTTGATTCTTATTTTTTCAGGTCATCATGATGTTTGATCCTCCTGATTATCCCTACAAAGAACTTTCTGAAACACTGAGCGAGACAGACGATTTGCTTTTCAACGCCGTTCATGGCGATACCAACAGAGTAGACCCTTCGTCTCTAATTAATAATGAACTAGTGACTGTTACAGAGCAAATGATCACAAATGTAGAGAACGAATTAACTTATCAGTCTAATGACTCAGGTCGATATTTCAATGTAGAAAGCTCTTCTTACACAAATACTACAGACAATCCAAGTATTGATGAAAACGGTCAGCTTTCTTTTATAAATACGGATAATTTGTTCAACAACTATGAGCCAACCTTATTAGACGACAATACAGTAAATCAATTTTTATTGCCCTTGCCTAGTTCTTCAAACAATAACAAGGTTCGAATTTTGAAATTATTAATTACTTTCAATTAAACAGTAAAAAAAAGAAAAACATATAAAATAATTTATTGAAGTTAATGAAATATTTTTCAGGAGTCCGAAGTAGATGGTCCCGATATTCTAGCTCTACACTCATGTGTAGTGTGTCATGAAATTTTCACTTCTGACGCCGATCTCTTAGACCACACAATTTTGATGCATGCCTCAGTTGATCTTTATGAAAGCCAAGATAATGTTTCTTGTTTACCAAATAAAAATATCAATGAACCTGTATCAATGGCAGGTTTGTCACTATAAACTTCAATTCATCATTAAGCATAAACTATTTCAATAAAGGCGAGTTACATAAATAAAAAAATATTTATTTCAGAAAATAACAACATCGATTTTGAGTCCGATTGGCTTATCTGCTGTATTTGTGAGCGAGTTCTATCAACAGCCCTTGAAGTTGAACCATCTGGTACGATTTTTACTAAGCAATCTTGAATAAGGCTAGGGGGCAAATGCTATTTTTGATGGTTCTAAAGTTTCTAACATAACTTTTCAAAATTTCAGAACAGCTATGTTGTAGTGATAGCAATGGTAAGGGGAGTGTTGCTTCGCGAAAACTGCATACTATGTATGTGTGCGATGGCTGTAACGGCTTATTTGCTGATGGAGAGGCTTTGGATAGGCACAAACTAACATGCTTGATAACTGAAACCCAAGAGTACTACGTAGACTCGTTGGTAAGATAATAATATTCCTAACACAGTTCTTGGACTCTATTCCAAATAACCAACTAACATCCAGATAACAATTATTACAGGGACAATGCCAAATTGATGAAGCTCCACGAGGTCCCGAAGTCTGTTTTTCATGTGAAACTTGTGGAACTCAAGTCTCATCAGCAGACCAATTGAAAATCCACTTAATTCAATGCCAAAGACGAGGCCCTACAAGGTCTGGAAGACGTGGATGCTCTAATAATACAAACAGCAACAAGATGTGGAATTGTGGCTCTTGTAACCAGCTCTTTGCGACTGCTAGGTGCTTTGCTTAACTGTCTTTGATAACTGAAATATGAATATACTGTACTCATCATCTCTATCATCATCAACTGTCGTTTTATTGTAGAGAGCTGTATAAGCATAAGCGAGGTGAAGACCGTCCACCTGGAGCTCCCGTCACGTCGTACGCTTGTGAAGAGTGCGACAAGATTCTCGGGAGCATGTGTGCTCTTCACACACATAAGAAGATGCATAAAGTTTCAAAACCGGTGAAGTATTATTTCAAATTAAATCAGTAATTTTCATAACTTCTATTAGTTTATACAACAGCGGTGATTTATTTTCCATTTACAGGGCTACCCATGCCGCATCTGTGGTCGTCGCTTCAATCAATCTGGTCACCTGGCTATCCACATGAGGATGCATACAGGGGAACGCCCGTACCCCTGTGATCTCTGCCCTAAGGCATTCAAGGTCAAGGTTGGTGAGATGATAAAATATCTGCGTACTTAGTATGTACCCTTTATAATCATCAGGACATCTCCATGTCACGTGGTCATGATACCTAAAGCAAATCTAATGTAAAAGAAGTATCTAGTGCATTCCTCCTACCCACTGATGCGTGAGGGAGGGTTACTAGCAAAGTTCCCATTATGTTGAATGACAGTTTTCGTTTTCTTTTACAGAAATTATAAGTTGTTACAGTTAAGTTAAAATAACTTTGAAAGCCAAGGAGTATGACCATGGTTATTTGCGATATTACCGCCAGATAGCAAAAACTCGCACAGTCCCTGCATTGAATACGCAATTTGTGCAACGCTTATAGGGTAGAGATAGTTCCCAGTATTTTTTTCCGTATGATAATGTGTGTGAAATGGTGTCGGTGACAGGTGGAGCGCGACGATCATCGTCGAACGCACACTGGGGAGCGGCCCTTCGCGTGCTCAGCCTGCCCGAAGACGTTCACCGCCGCCGCACGCTTGCGTGAGCACGCGCGTATTCACACCGATCAAAGGTTACATAAAAACTCCTTTTTCCAATCTTCAAGCTTCGTTCGAAAACCAATAATTTAAATTAAGAATTGACCATTGATTTTTGAGAATCGGCACCCACAACTAGCGCCTCTAGCGACAAAACTCCGAAACGCTCGGGCAGAGATTACGTGAATGCGACAGAGGTGGCGCCGGTGACCTCTAAATGAGAACAAGCTAGAAGGCCGAGTTGGAACCTTTGCATTTTAATAACGTTCGTAGCCAGTTCGCGTGATTAGCTAAAGTAAGTAACTTATAGAAGAAGTATTATGGCTTCATTTTAGAGCTGGAAAATATTTTCTTATGGTTCAAATAAATGCAAAGGTGTAAAAGCAAAGAGCAAAAATACTTATGTATTGTGATTCACATACCTACCTAAGGACTAATGCTTGTTGTAGTAAGATACTAGATATTTTTTTTTATATTGCTCGAAATATGAGTGAAATTTTAAAACAGGTCCTTGTTAGGTAACTAGCTTTTGCCCGCGGCTTCAGCCGCGTGAAATTTAGTTTGTCACAGATCGTCATAAATTATAGCCTATATGTTATTCTGGGTTATAAACAGTAGTACTGTAAAGTTTCATCAAAATCCGTTCAGTAGTTTTTGCGTGAACGAGTAACAAACATCCAGACATCCACACAAACTTTCACATTTATAATATTAGTAAGAAGTAAGATACTGAAAACTTTACACATGATTATATGATACTTACAAAAGTATTTACTTAGCACAATTTCAAGAGATCAAAATTAATGTTGATTCAAATAAAAAGAAAGTTTTACGTATGAATATTGCAGTTATTAAAAAAAAGATCTAGATAAAAGCTTAGCTATTTATAGCGAAGGAAACGCAAAGGAAGCCTTCGGAGAAGACACGCTTTAGCTAGAAATAAACTAATGATTCTCATCTCACTGGTGCATTACCAAGAAAGCACTGAATAAACGACCTACTTCCATTTTGCTTATCACGGCTGGGATTTTCTTTCATTTTCATGTAATTCTTGTTGTATTTTTAATATAAATATGAAATAGGTCATTATATTAATTAAACAAAGACAAAATCATGCAGTTCTAATGAAACACAAGATGGATTTCAAATTAGACAAGGTAGATAGACACCATGACCTTTTGTGGTGTATTTCCAATATTTGGCTGTTAACGATTCGTTGCCGGCTGATAGCCCATTGGCGCGGTGGGTCTAGCTCTTTCTTATGCCCCTTTTTCAGAGGGTTGTAAGATACGTTATGTATTGCCTCAAACTAGTTATTCTCTTTTTCTTTCTCTGTTTCTGTTTTCCAAAAACGATACGTCGATACCTATGTAAGAACTATTTGTGAAAACTCTTTTGGCAAATGTAAAGTTTAATTGGTAACTCTATGTGTGTTATAGAATGCTGTTTGTTTTCCTAACAATAAAATTAAAAAAAAATATATCAGTACAATGGTTAGGTGGGAGGCCCACTCGGTGGACCGACGATCTGGAAAAGGTCGTGAGAAAAACCTGGATCCGAAGAGCGAAATTCTTAGGGAGCCTTTATCCAGTAGAGGAGGAGAAGATATCAGATCCTTTAGTTATAGTGCCTCTAACTTACATTAGCTTTACTCGTAGTATAGAACTATCTTCATATTATAAACTAGCTTTCCGCCCGCGGCTTCATCATCATCATCATCATGTCAGCCATAGGACGTCCACTGCTGAACATAGGCCTCCCCTAATGCTTTCCACATTGATCGATTGGTAGCGGCCTGCATCCAGCGCTTCCCTGCTACCTTCACGATGTCGTCGGTCCACCTTGTAGGTGGACGTCCCACGCTGCGCCTTCCGGTACGCGGCCTCCATTCCAGAACCTTGCTGCCCCATCGGCCGTCAGTTCTGCGCACTATGTGCCCTGCCCATGCCCGCGGCTTCGCCTGCGTGGTATTTCGTTTGTTAAATTTTCCTAAATTTTCTTTGCTATAAACCTCACGGAGCCCGAGACCTTTCCAACGAATGCAAAACCGTGGAAATAGGTTCATGCGTTCTGGAGTTATAGCGTCAGGAAGGAAAACCCGACATATTTTTATATATGTAGTAGATTAGATAGTGAGGGAAGAGTCTTATGTTATGTAGAGTCGTATTTTACAATATTTTCGTATCCAATATTGGCATATCCTCTCAATCTCAAGTGTAACAGTTAGTGCACCGACCAGGTGACACCAGCTCTATACCGGTTCGCACGGGGTTTTACGGCCTCTGAATATTTTCATACGCCATAAACAGGCTATAAACTCGGGACTTGGTGTATTTTCCTCTTCGAAATTAATAACTTGGCGTTTTAGGGCAGGAGGATAGATAAAAAGCTCGTATGGTGCTTAGCTCAGGCCGAGTACTCTCCGTAACTGTCCTCTGCTGGGGTGATAATATTTCATTGCCAGGAATGAGGTAGGTAGAGTCACTAATATTGCAGATCAGACTTAACATTTTTGTTTGCAAAATCGCATCTCGTTTTGAAGCTTTATGAACCGTAGTAAATATAAAGCATAATTAGCCATAGCTACAACATTGGCAGAATATTAATGAATATCTTCATTTGTACAAATATAAAAGTAATATATCGTAATATCTTAGTAAGAAAGTTTTTATACTTAGATCTAGGGTTCGTAGCGGACAGCTAGACATGTAACGTCTGTCTAGCTAGGTGTAAGAGGTATTTTACTAGCACAAAAAATCGTACATACTCGTAGTTACTTACATCGTGAATGTTAAAATAAGTTTGACGTTCATTTTTGTGTAAGCCTGATGCCTATGCCTATCAAGTCATCAGGCTCCCACCACCGTAGTTCACTAAGCATCTTTAAAGAGTGTTAATTGAATTATATATCTTGATAGATCTTGATACAATTAAATAATCAGTATAGCTGACAAACTTACGATTACAGTCATGAAATAAATTACTACTATCAAACTAAGGCCCAGTTTTTTGATTCTTAGTTAAAATAACAAATTGTTAAATTTTGCTACTAATGGTTAAATATTAACAAAATGTTAACTAATAGTTTAAAAATGTATTAAAAGTCAAGCTAACCATTGTTCGAAAAACATTTTTTTCTAATATTTAACCACTTGTCATTTGACATCTGTCAAATTTGACCATTGGTTATTTTAACTACGAATCAAAAAACCGGGCCTTAGGCCCGGTTTCTTAATATTTAACCATTAGTAACAAAATTTAACAATTTGTTATTTTAACTATTATTCAAAAAACTGGGCCTTAGTAGGTACACGTAACAAGATACGTCATTCAATTATATGCAATAGTTATTTGCCACGATGTCGTCACACGTTAACATGAATAGTTATGTCTTGGACACTGATATGATAACACAGTCGCACAAACTGGCCAACGATCGACCCAAATTAAATGCATCAATACTGGTCAACAGTGGTTTTGGTGCCAAGGAACTTTATATATTTTTTGATTAAGGACCTTATACTGGTTGCTTTAGTAGCAAATTTGTTGATTTCCTACGTGTAGTTTTCTAGATTTTGACGTGTATAGAAAAATACAAAATTTCACCAAAATCAGCGTTTATAATATTTTTAAGTGCTTAAAAACTTTCTTTTCCATGACTTTTGTGAATGAGGTGTAATGGAACTATCACGTTACATCCTCCAGCAGTAATCAGCCATCATATAGCTATCCCATCTGCCTTGGTACCTCTCTTCCAATGGTTTTTAGGTCTTGATAGCATCGCTCTCCCTGTTCTTAGCTATAGCATGCTATAGTGACCCAAGATTCTCTGGGAATTGATCAAGATGACTGTGGAGGTAGTGCCCTTTGATGAAAATTATTACATCCTGAGTTTTTAGGGCATGTCTCACAATTTCATAGTAGTTACTAGTCCTGTGATTTCGGAAAAAAAATTTAGTAACTTCAACGAACGAAGTCCACGTAAATCGTTCCAAACGTCCATCAAACTTAATAAATCAGTATCTTTTATTAATATTCTTATTTGTGGGCCCTCAAAAATTTACTGCTTTAACCTTTTTTTATGCTCAAACCAGATTTTTTTTTGTTTTTTCGTCACTTTTTCCACTCTGAACTTCATGTTATGGCTTCTTTGACCATTAAAACATTGCCTCAGTGTTCACAGCAGATTATACAAACAATTTCGGGTATCCACGGCTTGAAAACAACCACAATTTCCGACTTAAAGTAAGAAAAATAAGCACTTTTTATTTAAATTTTGTCTAAATTTTTGAAATTCTTTACTGTGTACACATCACAAATATAACAAATTACATTTGGATCGTTGAGGCAACTTCTTGGCAATGCAGACATGATATTAAAATAAATTTCGTTATAAAAATATACCGATAACATTACAAACTGTGCAACCAAAGTACCGATTAAAGCTAAAATTTAAAACTGAGGTTAGATCAAAAACTACACGTAGGAAAAAAAAAAGAAAAATATTTTTACTATTACTAATACACACCTAATAATAAACTATCAACAGAATCTCGGCACCATTTTAATTTTGATTTTTTGTTGACCAGTGATAATACAATTATGGCTCTATATTTAGCTTTCTGGGAATCTGTTACTGCTTTTATATTTGTCCCCTGAAGGATTCGAACTTGCAACCACATCTGGCGTATAGTCAGCTACGTGAAATGTGAATCACCAGGACAGACAGCCATGAATGTCACCATGAATGTTTTTTTTTTCAATTTTGATTTGAGGATTATCCCTTTTCTTTCTGCTCCCTCCACTGCTGTGGTAGCGGTTTGACTAGCTAACAACACCAAAAATAATGGTAGAGTTTACCAAGCTACGATAGTATGAGGAAGGATTTTAATTGTTTTTATTGTAGCTAGTTAACTATTGATTTATCTGGGTATGTTAGTACATTTCTTCTGCAAGAAACTATTCAGTGTAACGTTACGTCCATGATAAGCCTAGGGTCGGGCTGTTAATCAGTATGGAGAGTGCGCACGATACATCGATTTAGTATCGGCCGATTCTTTATACAAATTAGAATCGGGCCCAACTATCATAAAAAACTCTCTCTAAAAAACTCGGCTGACAAAAATCGGTGGTGTGCACCTAGGCTAAAAGTGCCAGAAAGTAACTTATGAACGAACCAAATCAATGAATCGTCTAGCCCTTTTTTGGCCTTGAGACGACTGATAAAATAAATATCATTGATACAGCAACAGACTTCGACACGTCGGACGTTTGTGACGTATCATGATGTGACGTCACCATTATGCATACATTACGGGCTCGGATACGGCCGCTATAAATAGCTCCGCTCATGCACGTGGATGCGACGCGCGGTATTTTTATATCGAACTTATTTATTGGCTTCGTTATGTGAAATGTTCTCCTCTTATGGCGTACGCGTATTTGTAGAGGCAAGAGCCATGTATGCGGTAGTTTTATCTCTAAGTTAGTAATTCTGGGTCTAAGCATTTCTGTACTTTTGTACAAGAAGACCCGGTGTTTAATGATTGTCATTGATTGATGAGTTGATTGTTGTCTTTTTGACAGATTAGAGTTATTGAGTTCCCGATTGCAATAATTATCTCTAAGTTAATACTGGAAAATCCTTGTTCGTTCAGAGTTTCACTTTGATATCTTCCTATTTACTTAATGCAAGTTTTCCTATGAACTGGGAGACTTATTGACTTCAATTTATTGCAAAAACTGTAATACTCGTAAAGCTTGTCCACTAGCTGCAACGACTAATTTCACTGTATCATCATCTCGAAGTCAAATTCTGAAATAAAAAAATGTGTTCACTTCGAAACCATGATTATTGTATTTCTTTGTATTAAATTTCGTTAAACCTTTTTTTAATTGCAGACCCTACCGGTGCGACATTTGTGGAGCCGCTTTTAGGCGGCCTTATGCGCGGACGGTACACACGCTCATCCACACGGGTGAGAAGCCTCACGAGTGCGACGTCTGTGGTACTGCCTTCAGGTCAGTCCTTCTATTTTTAAGTTTCAAGGACTATTCTCACTGTCCCACCTCTACCACCTCTCGTTTTCACCGCTGCAACTCCTGAGTGGCCAGGATCTACAGCTTGACCGCCAAAAGCCCAACCAGTGAAGGCAAATTTTATCACAGGGAAAGTTAAACTGTCGACTGACCCCCGAAGAAATTAATCAGATGATAATATGATAGAAAGAGTTCGAAGTTAAGGATCAACTTTCCTCCAGTAGAATGACAGGTGACAAAGTCATTCTATATTCAAGTCCTCATTCGGATATAGGCTAAGGATATTGCATCTGTGAAACCTTCTGGAAGTGTTCTGGCTCGCTGGTCACAGTAGGGTCTCGAGCAATGTGGCATATAGCAGCAGTGCTGCAGCAGCTAGTACTGCGTCTAGGGTTTAACTAAGATGAGTTAAACAGCCGAAATGTAAGTCACTTCTGCAATATTATTATCAGTGACGTAAAAAAATTTGGGTTGTGATCGAGAAGCTTGAGAACCCGACCAGTCCGAAGAGCTCAAATATGCTCAAATTAGATAAGTACACGCACATCTCTTTGTAAGTAGTTTAATTCCAAAATACTCAGAAAACTAAAGTTATTTTAATGATAAATTAATTTAACTGTGTACCTGCACAATACGACGACTTTTTGACGACAGTTACACATTTCGACTTGCCAAAGCGACTCTCTATCCACAAGTGATACCCGCATGAATGGGACGTGAGAGACTACTCTCAGGTTGGTTAAAACTTTCAACAGTTCTTGTTATTTTATTTTTTGCACAAATAAGCTTTACATTTAGCCAATGTACCTACAGAATCACACTTTCTAGAGTTTAGGTACAATAGGTGTTTATAAATGCACATTTAATGTTTAATGTTTGTTAGAAATAAAGTAGGTAGTTGATTACCACACCGCGGAATCGCCCGGAGCGTGGCGCCGAGTTTTATACAGCGGTTCTTTTCCTCATGATGAATCATACTCGATAGTTCTGAGTGGTTGTGATCCAAAGTCGACATATCTTTTAAGCGAGATAAAATACTTATATACCCAAATAAACGATGTGTAGGTATTATTCTAGTATCAGTAGACGTATTATTCGAACTTGAATTAACGTAAGTGCGCCTATTAACGACCCCCCAAAATTTGTAGTCTATTACCGCCCTATTTTTCTTTCTTTCATGAAAGACATAATAACAGGTTCCACAAAACACGTTACGTAAAAAATATCTAGATATGTTTATTGACTATCACAACGATTAAAGTTTGTGTTCGTAAATAACCAGTAAACGGAGTTATTTGACATTAAATGGGACGCGCCCGCAACGAGCGCACTTTTCATACTGACGCGCTCCCAGCTACTTAAGGTGCACCTTGTTATTAATTAGCGATTTTAACACATTTAAAATGAGTATACCAACACGTTTTTGCATAACAATATTAATTCGTACTTTAGTTTCCTTAATAAAACTTCAATATAGCCCTCTCGCTGTATTTTTGTCGCTTAAATACAATTTTAAATAAGGGCGGTAATAGAAACACTTTTAATAATTTGGTTCCTAATAACGACCCATAGCGTTGTTAGAATTTTGATAACGTTTTTTATTTTAGTATTTATATCTTTAATTTCGCATTTAACCTCCATTTTGTTATCTTTATCGATTCATAAGAATATTTCACATAATTAAATCAATTAACGCCATATGTTAACTGTCATAGGTTTGGCATAAAACTGCAATGAACATTAAAGAATATCTCTAATAATGTATGACAATAGATTTTATAAAAACCTGTTAAATTCTAATTAGTACCTATTTGATATAAAATAAAACCTAATAAAAATGACACTTCACTGATCACGTCTTCATTAAAGTAGATATTTTAGCTGGTTACTGTTTTTTTTTACGGTCGCTAATAGAATAAAGTAATATTCATACTTAATTCTATTACCGCCTCATAACTATAACGCCACCTGCGAAGACTTATAATTTATTATTTTGTATACAATATGTAACAAAAACACCGTCCGATCCGAAAGGGTCATAAAGTAGCTTTAACAACATTACCAAAACAAGTATCAAAATTACGTAATTAATTATAACAATTTTTTTATCGATTTTTAAAGTCAATAAGTTTAGCAATGATTTACCCTACAACGGGGAAATTTTCAAAAAGCGTTAACACTCTGTCGGCGCGCGGCTTTTTTTAAGACGCTGGGGGTCATGACCTTATGACGTCGCTACGCGTGCCGGCGCATCTCTACCCCTCCCGCGTACCCTCTACACTGCAGTGCGGATTGCCATGTAAGCTATTTTATTTTTGTAAATTTTGTATTTATTTTTCATGGGGTATTTTTTTATAATATTTTATGAAAATTATTACACAAATGGAATCTTAACTCGATACCTATTAACACCTTAATGGATCGGACAGTGTTTCCGTTACATATTGTATAACTAACATTTATGACTTGACACCAAACCAATCATGCGTTATCACAACTACTATGTAACTTTTTAGGATCTTTTGAATAATAAAAAAATAATTTAAAATAATTATACAGACAGTGTCCAATTGTCCATAGTTTAAATTAAAATACACAATTACACACAATTAAAATCAATCAAAAACTAATTAAAAAGTATATTATAGTCAAATTAAAAATAGAAATAAAATATTAAATGAAAATTAAATTTTATTAAAACTCAAATACAGTTTAAATAATGACCCCCACTACTCACTAGAACACCGGGTACCGCGTAATCAAGTATAATAGAGGAATTTATTATTTTACTATTTCTGCTTGATTATTTATTTATTTTCGAGAAGCGTGCCTTTTCTCTTTTAATAATAAAAAAAAACAAATTTAACTAAAACTAAAAGCAAAACAAATTTAACTTGAAAAAATCAAGTGGTTCCCGAGCCTCTGAGTGGGAATCGAACCCGTGCCTCTTGGAATATACCCAATTGAAGAGCAATGTTCTTAGCGGTCGGTAATAGAAACAGAAAAAACGTTAATAGAAACACACCTCGTCTATAGGTCGGTAATAGAAACAACTGCTTTTTCAGATTAAATTGCTATTTATTAATTATTGTGTGATTGTATACTCATTGTTTCTACTTGAATTCAAATATTACTTCATCATTGTTATAAATAAATTAAAGTGTCTTTTCTATCACCACGTCTTATATCTAATTTTCTAACGTTTATCCGAAGACAGCTTAAACTGGCGGTAATAGGCGCATTTACGTTAATTAATCTTAGCGAAAGATAAAAATAATAAAATGAGCAAGTACGCGCTTTTGTCGATTGAAATTGAGAAAAACAATGTATTTATCGATTCTAGTGTTATTAGCTCAACAATCATCTACTTATAGCGAAAATCAAACTCATGTACAAAAATATGTTTTTTATGTACAACAATAATAATTAATAAAGTATCTGCCTATCTGGGCTATACTTTGCATCACGTCGTAAAAAAACATAAAGTGGTAAATGAAACATCCCTCAATTTTTCTAAATTACGAATACACATCATGAAAATTTTGTTAAGTATAGTTGGTCAGATCAGAGAAAGCACAGTCAAGACTTTCAGTACGAAATGAAAGCTTTAGTCCACATCCACCTAAGTAGGTAGCGTATGCCTGTTTTCACCATCAATCCCTTATTTTTAAGTGACCCCTATGTAAACAAAGTTGTTGTTATTTGTTACCATAGGGGTCACTTAAAAATTAGGGATTGATGGTGAAAACAGGCATTACTATTCTATATATGTATACTGTCAAAAACGCCGTCTATTGACGCGTTAGCGTAGCTAACTGAAACCTAATCTACATGTTCCCATAATGCTAAGTTTTCAAATTATAGGTCCAGCGCCTAAGTCAGCCAGGGCTTGAGGTGGGCGGCACTGGAGGGTGTTTTTTGTTACGTCAAATGTCAGCGAGACTTTAAATTTGTATCAGGGATGTTATGGATATCCGTAACCGAAACCGAAACTTTCGGATATACGAAATAAAAAAATATTCGAAACCGTAACCGTAACCGATTCAAAAGTTTCGGATAGTTTCGGATGTAGGCCATCTAGTATCAATTTTTATTTTTTTATTACTTTACCTATATTCGATGTAAAGTGTGCGGCCATGAATGAACCGTGTTGGACAACTATTGCAAATTGCATTCTAAAGCACAGATATCCGTAACCGTAATCGAAACTTTCGGATATCCGAAATAAAAAAATATCCGTAACCGAAACCGAAGCCGGTATAATATTATTCCTATATCCGTAACCGTATCCATAACCGAAACTACATATCCATAACATCCCTAATTTGTATGCTCTGTCACGTCGTAATATGACAAAGTCTTCCCCCCCTCCTGCTCCTAGACAATGACTGAGTTGAGCGCAAAACCTATACATTTTTCCTAATAATGCTTTGAATTTCAGGCGATCAGGCGACATGTGGAAGCACAAAAGGACTCTACACGGGATACAGGCAGGAGCCATGGACAGTGAAATAAGAAACGAGTAAGTTTCAGCCCCAAAGACTAGACATTAGGTTAAATAAGTTGAAGTGAGAGAAAATCTACCAAAGTTAAGTACTTGTGGCTGTGAGAAACTACCTCAGAGAAGTGTGCCTTATAGAGAAATATGTGAAAATATCGTCCTTGATAACTTGGGTTCTAAAGCAGTCAAGAGAAAAGTCACATTATAAACTAGATGAATTGTGTTTTGTTTCAGAGTTTATTTATAATACCAAACATGAAACTTTACATATTATAGTACCTAGTATTTATCTATTTTATAGATACTCGTATCTATGTTATTATTGAGTACTAAAATTGAAACATTCTAAGATGCTTCGTTAATCCTAGTAATAGTATCCATTTATAACGTAGAAATTGTGGCTAGTGATTTGAGTCAATTAACTAATAATAAAAAGATAATACAAAGTGAATATACCTACATATTTTAAGTATGAACGTGTTTTATTTCAATGAAATAAAAGCTCATAAAAATTACTCAGTTGTTTTAGTATGACAAGACCCTTTATCAATGATGTGTCTTTGGTTTTCACTTAATTAAATACATATTTAATGAAATATTATGTATTATCTTGAGTAACTTTCAATTTCAGGTAACTTTAGCCAGTACAAAATTATAGTACAGTTACAGTACATGTTTTATTCAAAATTACCTGATTTTAAGTTCTACCTTACTTGAATCAGGGTAACTGAGCGGTTCAAAATTAATGGACTTATGCATTTTTTCCTTTTCAAAGTTACCATCCTGTAAAACTCAGTAACCCAAGATGACTGTAACCCTTTGTCACATATCTTAAACCCTACTCGTATTATCAATCTGTAAGCTCACTTGCATTTTAATTAAATAAATAAATAAATTAGATACATAATAGGTAAGTATCAAAGATTCAAAATTTAAATAATCTTACTCAGTGTCCAGTATCCAGGGATCCAGTCATCCAAAATCTAGACTACCGAGGGCCCCTAACTGAATGAATCCTATTTTAGTTATATGTAAAGATTTATTTAGTATATCGTCATAAATTATAGCCTATATGTTATTCTGGGCTATAAACAATAATACTGTGATAATACTGTAGGTAAAGTTTTGTCGAAATCCGTTCAGTAGTATTTGCGTGAAAGAGTAACAAACACGTTGACATCCAGACATCCATACACACTTTCGCATTAATAATATTAGTAGGATAATAAACGTCTCATCAATGCACACTCTTGAGCTGTGCGTGAGCTTTTCGTTGTCATTCTACTAGTTGGCATCCTTACATTCTAGAAAAGTGTAGCTACAAACTCCTCGTACTTTTGTCTTGGTTACGTACTTATTATGAAAGTACCACCATGCCATAATTTATTTTTGAATATCTTATTACCTAAGTACTGTACAGATGCTTACATAAAAGTTTCATACGCCTCCACTCCTATTCGACCCACGGACTTGCTCCAAAACATTGTACTGTTATCAAAAAGGAAAGGTTATACTTGTATTAAGTTTAATGTGATTTGTAAAAACCTACAAAGTTTATTATTTTTTAATGCAATCCTTATTAACGAACTAGCCATATTTTGGGTATCTTTAGTCCTTGGAGATCTACCTTCCTCTATTTCTAATCACTGTGTATGACTAGTTTCATTTACATAATATGTAGAGATAATATTATTGTCTGAACATCGCGGTTGGTCTAGAGTCTAGACCTTCTAGACTCCTAAAAGATTGATTCTGAATTTACCGTCTTATCTTATGTGTTGGGAACTCAATAAATTAAAATGTTTCTTCACCTTAAACACTTGTTAACAATGCTAAATCAAATAATCCATAACTACGCGGTCCATAACTGCTCATGCGTTTTTCCCATCATTTTCTCTTGGTAAGAATGTCATGTTACCCATTGATACACTGTATAATGTCCCATTATGATATTTTATATCTTTTAGGTGTTAGCGCTTATGTTCAAATTAATACTATATTTACTTCAAAACTAGCTAGCTAGAAAGAACGATCGATCCTGACTAAGCGATCGGTTGAAGGCCGCCGAATTTCGTTGGCTGCATGCTCGTAACAGAGGCCGGGTGGTAGATTGACCATTTGGGGAGAAATAGTTAGACCTAAGTAAATCTAGACTTTAGAAGATTGCTAGGAAGTGATTTGCCATGAGGTTTCGTACCCATCTGGTGTTTACGGTTCAAATTAACATGTTTATCCGGAAAGAAGTATTTTCCTTCCTAAAATGGCACCTTATGGGTTCGGTAGAGTAATGTCTGATGTTTTTTTTTTGGACTAAAGTTAACTAAAAAAAAGTTCAATTATTATTTCAGTCATATAATTGGAATATTCTGTCCTGTGATTGGTCTAAATGTTGAAATTATCTTTTCGTCTCGTCTATTACTTGAAATTGAAACGAGTTTTGGGGTCAATTCTGTAATTACTTAGCGTTTTAGAGTCTCAAAAGTCCAGCGATAGAAAATTACGAGTATGCTTAATGATAAAGACTGCGTAAATCCTCCTTGGCCCCAGCTCTTGGCCTTAAGCTTGGCGCACAGTCAGCATTGCAGAATAATTCTAAGGTGCGCGGCGATAGCTATGGCCTTCATGGATTCTCTACGACTCTACTCATTTAAATATTCAAGTTCTTAAAAACTCCATGAACCTGACTGATAGCTATTCAATACACTATTTCGCATATTATTTCAATGAATACTTACATACGTACTTACTTAGTTTGCCTTGTATCTACTCGTATACGAGTTGCTCCTTTATTTTGTTGTTGTCTTGATTTTATTGTTGATCTTCCTTAGTGATGTCTTCAGAGACGACCATGTTAGATTATTTCTATATTATTTGAAACATACTGTGTGTAGTAGCCATATCAGTGTTTATTATGTAGTTTAATAAGAGTCTAATAGCATTAAAATGGAGTCATTATAACGAAATACAGATGTAAAATGTAGATCTTTCAAATGAATGCTTGTAGGATACGCTATTATTTTCATGCCGAATGCATTTTGTGTTTATTTCTATTATTCCTACCTAATGAGTTGCAGTTTGGTTTTTGCAAGTTTTCTTAATGTATGTATTTAACTTTTTATGTTTTAAAAGTGTTGGTGTGTGACTGTGCTAACAGAACTCATCAAAACTGCAAGTGTTAGGTTCTATGCATGAGCGGTCTTCTTGAATCGCCCCAATCAGCCAAATAAAAGTCTGAGATTCTTCAACAGTAAATATTTATTATAAAAATTGCTCTTATAGCCACATTTCTGTTTCTATAATATATATAATATTTATGTTCATTCTTTGTGCCATTGTTTCACAAAATTATTCCTGTTCTTGTTATTTTCGACACAACAGCTTAAACAATAATATATTACAATTATTTAACTTACATTAGACAATTAGAGAAACAATTTTGAATAACTCGTAACATGAGGAACGATTCAACAATTCGATGTGCAAGTATCGTCATTCAAAATTGGTTTCACAATTTTCTAACGAGAGTATTCTTTCTAAAATATATTCACAATTGTTTCAATAAAAATCCTGTCATTTTTGGTAACCAATGGCAATGAAAAACACTAAGGAATTACACTTATTATAATGTAATTATAAAGTTACGTATGAGTGGCCGCCGCCCTTCTTGGAAGAGGGCGCCAGAAGACGGACAAGTCAAAGAACTGTCATAGCGAGTGCTGCGCGCGCGGCGCCGGCAACTGTATGACATCACAAACAATTATACCTCAGAGTATTGTAGATTTAAAGTAGTGCCAATCACTTAACTCTATACAATTTTACACCGAAACAAACGGTAAGAAACATTACAATTCGTGTTGAGCATAGATTTTGAAGACAATTTACAAAAAGATGAAAATGACAGGATGAGGGAGCTGATTGATAGTTTGTACATAATTGCAAGCATCGGAGAGCCCTCTCCTGTCGCACGGCCGCGCAGTCATTAAAATACAGTAAGAAAATATATTTGGTTGAGTAAAAAAGATAGCTTAACTAATTAAATACATTAAGTACCTCCAAATAAACAGAACCTGGCGCTTGCGCAGCCGTGCGACAGGAGCTGAACACAAAACGACTCAAAATCGTTAGTACAAATGTATAGTAAATATGTAAGTAGGTATACGTCAAACAGAGCAGTTTGCCGAAGAGTCGCTAACTTACTTAAGTAAACCATCACAACCAACCATACGGACATGTTCAACAAAAACATCTACGCAAAATTAAACCGTAAAATAAAATAGATTGAGCTGAATTCAGTTATTCAGTGCGCGAGTTTACAACTCAAATATGACTAAAGTTGTTCGTGTATCTTAATAAACTGTACTGGCAATAGATTTTGTGACATCTTATATTAAAATGCATTATTATGTAACTTGTAAACCGTTATGTACTTGTTGAATTTATGGACAGAATAGAGGTTGTATGATACAACACGGGGTGCGACGGGCCGCCCGCCGGCGACATTCATATCAATATAATTATTACTTTACATTATGTATTTACAACGGCCGCGGGGTCCGCGCCATAATGCCCATCTCCGTATATAATATGTACACTAAATTTAAGAACATAGAGTTTTCTCTCATTAGCTACCGAATCACAATTCAAATATTTGAGTAATTGACAACGGTGGACAAACATGCGCCGGAGCACTAATGCATCCTACTTTATTGAAATTTGTACTTTGCTATTAAAAGTCGTGCTAGGTATGTTTGGTCCATGCAGTGCCGCGCCGTCCGCGGGAGTCGCCGGCGCCGCTAATTGCCGATCGCTAATGAAACTAGAGTCCATCGTCCGTAATGTACGAACGAAATGGACATATCACAATGGCGCCGGCCACAAATCCCGATGACACCAAATTCATTACGTGCCATTTCACGCGCGTTGCTCACAACCCGGTGTCACTAATGAGAGAACTTATCATTGCCATGTCCAATATTTAAATACAAAAGCTCGCCATGAGCGGTGGCCAGTTAAATGCTCCCATGTAACACCGGTTGCAACTATTGTTCACTATTTCTACAATAGGTTATTCGATGTCTCAAATCTCAATGCAATTTTTGATACATATTTTTGGATCACGATGCGAATGAAAGGGTAGAGTCGGATGCCTCCCGACGAACTTTTCAGTAAAAAACTAGAATTAACGCTGCAAATAAATTACCGTTTTCACTAATAGTTTTATTACTTATTAGGAACTGCGATT